AAGTGAAGAGTTGAGGTTCCGAGTTGCCCTATTGGACAGTTAGCGGCCAGGTCATTGCTCTGTAACTAACTACCTAGTTAAGTAGTTAACGTAGTTGCCCCGCCGATGAGTGGTTGCGGTATAACTTATGGATATATATTATTAACAAAGTATATGCGTGCTATAGGCAGGATACCGCAAGCGGTGTTATAAGAGCCTCAAGAGCCAGTTGATTAGTGGACGCAAATTTTACCCAGTGGAGATCCTAAGTAAGTATGTGACAACCCACTTAGTTAACTAACTTAATTTGATTAACTAACTGGTTAATTTAGTTAGATCTGTCTGGCGCCGAAGAACTCTGCCGCGGTAAGAATGTTCTTTAGTATACCGTTTCTGTACAATTAACTAATTTAGTGGGCCTTCAAGTATCATATCAAATATCACTACTGCCTGTTCTCCCTCCGCTTGACCTTGCTACTATTACTGCCTGGGTCATCAACTGCCTCTCCCTTTCACTCAGTTTCGGTAGAGCATCGGATACGCGTTCCTTTAGTTTCTGCTTTTCGGCCTCAACCTGTTCATCAGAGGTGGGCATGAGGGATGGAGACAGAGCTATGGGTATGGAGCCGGACTCGGACGACTCCGTAACCCATGACGGAATACGCTCTAGTGATTCGCGATTGTGAAGATAGTAACTGAGTATCGATGAAAAGCTTTCGCGAGCCTTCTCTTCCGAGGACTTGTTGTCGCTCATACTGTTTGTGTTTGCTGGTTTCCCGCATTAGTTACTTTCGTTGCTAGTTCCGCGGGTGTCCAAGCTTAGTTGCCTATCATAAACCAAGGTCACTGCCTCGTATCTCAACGTTGTGGAAGTATAAGTCGTGGAAAATGGTGAGGAACAGTCAACTCAGGCCTGGGGATGGAATGACTATATACCTGACTCACTACTTATAGGCATGAGCAAGCACTTCGGAACAAAGCGGATAATGCCCATGGCGGGGAGCGTGCTTATTTCCGGCCTGTCCGTCATTGGTTCCCAGCCTGTTGCTATTAATAAATACCTAGCTGTTTAGTTGGACCAATTAACAATTATTGAAAAAATAGTAATGGAAAGACTGTAGCAAATCCGGGGCAACTGGTGTTGCTTGCACATAGTTATTAGAGCGGGCATTGATGCAGTCCAGCGAAAGGCTGTTCCTTATTTTCAGGTTATTGTTTAAAGGAAGTGTGGACAAATGAGGAGCCTGTAAGAAAGCTCATCATAAGAAACCATTAGATCAACCTAAACTATCAAAGAGAGAAAACTAGCCGCTATAGCTCCATAGTATCATCAAGGGAGTAATGGGGGTCAATCTCGCCATCCTCAGCCTGTTTGACTTTCACGTGGTATATTGCGTCTAGCTTGGTGTGCTCTTCCTGGCTTAAATGTTGCAGTCTATCTTCTAGAGAGGTGAATTTCCCGTAGTAAGCTTCGTCAATGAAGGTCCAGTATATCTCATCAAACATAGAGCTATACCGTGCTGCTAGACACACCCAGAACAACTTATTATCCAAAGACTTCTCCATATGCGGCGATAGCCTTTGAGATTCTTGCAGGCTATTATTGGATATCATGTCACACTCGGCTGCTCGTAGGGCATCTAAGAAAAGATGAAAGCGAGGCGTATAGCGAGTCAAGAACTCAGTGAGATCTGATTCCCAGTCTTCAGGGGACTGTAGAAGGAGCCACCACGGAGCTACGTAGCTAAACTCGGCGGGTGCAACATATGTAAACTCCCAGTCTATTGCTGCTGCAATTCGGATATTTTCAATATCCACAAGTACATTTGAGGGCCGGAAATCATCGCAATAGAGCCTGAAAGGGCCTTCATGAAACTGGATGGCTTCAACAACTTTGCTAAAGAGACAACGAGCAACGAATTTTTTGCGACAGTCAGCTTCATTAGTAATCGCGTCGTTTCGCTGGGTAAGGAAGTGTAACATATGCTGTGTAGCTAGGGACTTGAAAAAATCAACCGCTGAGTCAAATACGGCATTCGGGCCTGGCAATACGTAAGGCGGAGCGTTTGCAGAAGTTGAGAGCTCGTTCATATTAAATGTAAATGGTCTCCTGGATACCGTAAATTCGCCGTCCGACCTTTCTACCAAGGCACCTATCCTGGCGAACTCAGGCTTAGATAGTTCGAGGAGAAGCTGGGCCATCTCCTGGTAAGCCCTCCGTAAACCACGCTGACTGATATTTGAGTTCAAGATAGGCCGTCCTTCAGCCTTGGGATCCTTGAGAATGCTGGCGAGAGGGGTACCATGGACATAAGTTAAAACGATATACGGTCCTGTCCAGGTCTTCCCAGACCCATATACTTCGGGGACAGGTATTGAGGTGTGTTTTCGGAGATACCGTAGGACAGCAACTTCGTTGGCAACCTTTTCTGCACGGAAAATTGACCGTCCAAGGGAGCTAAACCGAACAATAACTTCAGGTGTGTCATCATGAAACTGGACGCGATAGCACACGTTAAAAGCGCCAGTCTTCCATTGGCACGCTTGCTTGGCCCTACGGCCAAGATGTGATGCGGCTAGCTTCATAGCAAGATGTTCGGGGGATTTCGACAGTAGCTGCTTCACCCATTGTGCAAAGACAATGTCCAGCCGGTCCTCCGCGACATGGTCAAACTGCATGGTGATAGGGTCACGAGACAAGCCGGTGAGCTGGTAAAATATTTCACCACAGGTCAGAACGTAAAGGAAGAGTATAAGCTCACAGAGAAAAACTCAATGGATCCGAGATTCGAGAATGAAGAGTACGATAATAGTGAACAGTGAGGTTGAATTCTGATAAAAGGGGATGAGGCTTAAATTGATAGCGCAGACGCCAAGTTGATTAATAATCCATTATATAAGCAAGCTATACCAAATTAGTAATAATCTAACTTACGTAATTCGGAACGCTGTGAATGCCCAAAGCTTATTTTTTTACCGCCATCAGAATAAAAACAATCTTCATCTTTCTTTTCCTGAGACTGCGCCGGGATTCGGCTTCTCTAGCCACATGATTCAACCGGCACATAATATCAAGGATGCATGGCCAATAAGTGGGAATCCTAGGATTATGGGTTTAGTGACCCGTCTTGAGTGACAATGATGCACCCTAAACTCATTCAAGATTCCTTGTGCGAGATCAGAATCAATCCATCACGAAGTATGGAGTATTCCACTTTCTATGAATATATATCTCTTAGAACAGATATATATCGAGAGGCTGTTAGCAGAGGGGAGATGTTGATTCTGATAAAAGAAATCGTCATTGAACTATCAAGCTGAAACCACCATCTAACAATCCCGGTACCAGTGCAGATAACGACACCCCTCACCCCCGGATCTGCGATTTAAGCCGATCATGAGGCCAGTTGGGCATTCTCCACCCACAATGATACGAAGAGCTGCTTTACTTAAATTATCATATATTGACATATACTACAAGCTCTATCACAATGCTCCAGGTGTTTCTTCTCAGGCGAAGAAATATTGAAGTCCCTGTTAATTTCATGAAATGGCCATCTTGCCCATTCAAACCAAGGTCGACCTTTGTGTGCTGCCACTTTTGATTCTATCACTGCTACTTGCGGGTTTAGACAAGGTTTGATTGCCTTGAGAGTTGTTGATGTGCGAAGCATTGCTAAGCAGGCACAGAATGCGCTCGCGTTTGCTGCCGTTCTGGGAATGAACAAAGACCTAGGTCTTCATGGTCAACAGTATTCATGGCTCGGTTCTATCTTCAATATTGCATACCTTTTTGCCGAATTTCCGACATCATGGCTTCTTACTCGACTGCCTATTGGCAAGTATGTAGGCACCTCATTGATTTTATGGGGGGCTTCTGGGTGTGCAATGGCAGCGTGTACCAATTTTGCAAGCGCTGCTGCTGTCAGATTTCTCCTCGGAGCTTTGGAATCAGCTATATTACCGTCGGTTATTGTCATTATGTCCACTTGGTATCGGCGTGAGGAGCAACCCCTGCGGGCTGCTCTATGTTTTGGCCCTTTCTCCGGGGTATGTATTTGGAGTCTTTTATCCAATGGTTTTATAACTACGGTGGCTCCCAAAAGCTGATGCAATCCAGATCTTTGGTGGTATTCTTGCATATGCCATTGGTACCCTTCGAGCACCAGTACCTACATGGAAGGTATATTCAACATGATACACCCTTATTTTGGGCGATATAGCTGTTTTAATACAGGTTTTTGACAGTTAATATTCTTGATATACGGTGGAATAACCATCGCCGTCGGCTTTATCTGCCTTGTGGTACTCCCAAACAACCATGATAAGGCCATATTCCTTTCCAAGGGTGAACGTGACCAGGCAAGGCTCAGGGTTGCGGACAATAAAACCGGCAGAGACACACGCAAGGTCAGTTTTGCGCCGCGATCTAACTTCAGTTTGAGGCTGATACTACCTAAATGTGGTAGAAATGGAAGTTATCTCAGGTCTTTGAGGCCCTGGAAGATGGAAAGTACTGGTGCGTCGTGGCTTTTGTCTTCTTCCAATCCATCACGAATGCTGGAGTTACGAATGTGAGTCAACCCTCAAAATCGATGCTGTCCTATTACAATAGATACCAGAATTACTTACTAGCTTCTTCAGTTCAATCCTTTAATTATAGCGGGATTTGGGTACTCGAAGCAGATAACTGTATTATTAGCAGCTCCACAGGGAGCCGTTGCTCTTACAGCTCAAGTCATTGCTGCGCTATTGGCGCTTTATATTCCTAACCTTCGCTGTTTGCTATGGGTACTCTCTTGCATCCCTTCATTAGCAGGAACATTGGTAGTAAGATGTATGTTCCATATACCCCTTATTGCCTTGGTCTTGGTGCAGCTAACATATTGGTAAAGATGTTTCGGTATCTGAGAACCGTATTGCTGCCCTCATGGGGGTATATCTGACTGGGTTCTACAATATTGCTTGGTCCATGACCCTCAGTCTTGTGGCTTCCAACACTGCCGGAGCAACGAAGAAAAGCTTTGTCTCGGCCTCTATTGCCATTGCTCATGGTAATATTTTCCTTCAAATTTCAACTCAGACCATCTTGGATACCTATTTATATATATCTAACCTTCGTGAAATAGGCGTTGGTGGATTAGTCGGTCCTCAATTTTTCCTTGAGAGCCAGAAACCCCATTACCAGCTGGGACTGGGTGCTATGATTGTGTCTTTGATAATGATGGCAGTTTGCGGTGCAATATACGGGTCAGTGCCTTTCTCCTGCTTCTCCTTAGCTTTCGAGCTTCACCGTCCTTACCATCTATCCTATTATAGAACGCTCTGCATTTATCAGAACAAAGCTCGAGATAACCTTGGCGAAACTGTCAGCCCCTTGCCTGCCGAGTGTTATTCCACAGAAGAAGACGCCGACAGGGAGTCAGATGATAAGACAGATCATGAAATGCACACCTTTCGCTACACATATTAAAGATATATCTGATTATAGGGCATATCTTCGTCTATATATGTGCATGCATACCAAAGCATACTAAGAATTACATTATGATTGTATGATGCTCATAGATTCCAACGCTCACGTTTTATTCGGTTGATGTGTGGGACCCAGACGTAGACAAAGGTAGCCGTGCAGCCGTAATTAATTAATCGTCTTAAATAAATACACTATTCGAGATTGGAAGACAAGACGACTGCAAAACACATCGAGTTCGTATCCCGGCCAGAATTGCCAAAAATATGGCTTCAATCTGCGGGCCACTTGTATTAGCTCCTCTTTTCGCCCAGCTGTTTTGATGAAAAGGAAGCTAAAGAAGTATAAAGAGAGTAAAGGCGAAAAGGCATATAATTAGGGAGCTTATGAGCTAGACTGACAATTTTATTACTCCTGGTGTAGTTACTGCTTTTCCCCATGATCTAGTTAGATTTTAAAAGCTCCTCTATAGTATTTAATTGGAATAAATCAGAGTACTCAAATGAATCCAAATTAAACCCCAGCCTCTCATTATTATCGTAATTTTCATCAAAAGTGTTTGACTCATTACTCTGCGCCGTGCTAATATTGCCCAAGAAATTTGTTGTTATTTGTATAATCTTTTTTTTGATATCCAGCACAATATCTGGAGTTATTAGTATCTTACCCTTTTCTCGAGCACTATTCTCGCATGCCTCCCGGGCTTGAAGAACTATCCTAGAAAAAACAAGAAAAAAGTCACTGTGTTCTTCTTGGTTTGAACCCGCTATGCGTAACATATAGTTATGGGTCATGGCCTTCCAGGCCGTATCGGTGTGGTTTTCGACGGGCCGTCTTTTCAAATCTTGAAGGAGGTGTATGTAAGCAAGGAAAGGGAAGTGAAATTGAACAAGCCAGAGGTAACCTTTGATACGTGGCGAGTCCATAAGATTTGTATTGCATTCTAGCATGCGTAGAGCATAGAAGATACCAATAGTATGCAGCGGATCTGGTTGCTTCTTGGCGTTCAGGGTATAGTGCTGCAGCAGACGATACTTCGCGATGTAGCCACGTATTGTCCAGATTGTCATATAGTGAAGGGGGCTCTCTGAATTGCAGGATGCGAGATATTTCTCTTCTATCGTCCTTTCTAGGGCTACTAAATGCCGTGCCTCCTCTATATGGCTAGACCTAGCTGCCATTACTTTGTTGAAGCACGGGTTAGTGAAGTCAAGATGGAAGGCACTATAGCGGATGAAGTCAGCCAGCTGGCAGCGCCAAACCACAAAAATCATCTCTGATGGTTTGTAGTCTGCTATTGCCGGTGAGGCCTTCATCTTTGGCTGAAGCCCTGAATCATTCATATTGAGAGGAATTCTGCAATCCCACGAAGGATTCAAAGAAGTGGTTCCGTAATCAGACATTTCGCATATGCGATTATCGAAGACCACAAGCGACCACCATAGTCTTCGGCGTATCTCAGCTTCTAAAGGGGGCCATGTGCTATACATGGATTCACTGTGAATACCTATCCGTTGCGCGATACGTACAGCAACGCTAAGTAGCGAGGAAAGAGACGCAGGGTTTGTTGCAGGCCTAATAGAGACCTAAAAAGTTTAGAAGTTAGAATATATTCATGAATAGAGTTATCGAGCACCTTACTAGATAGAGGTATAGTGCCGTCAAGCATTCATAGTCACAGGTTTGTAATACATCGCAGTTCCCCAGCGCTTGTTGGCATGATATTTGATAACCTGTTAGAATATCCTTCTTTGGGGACCCGAAGAACCCACTGCATTGATCTTCGTTAAGACTGAGAATGGAGACAGATGCTAAACATCAGTGCTTCCAACGTGGGCTTGATTAGTTATATCGCTAGCAGCATCGATAATACGAGTTTGTAAGGTCGGTGTATGTGTGGCTTTAAGAAGGGGGTTGACATTGTCCAGATAAACTTGCCAGAGCTTCGAAATTTGCATCTGACTTGGGTGCGGGAGAGAGAGGTCGAAAATCCCTCCAGAAGAACCAAATAAGAGAAGATGCTCACTGCTCCGACCCTGAAGGTATGGTGCCACGCCTTCTTGATAACTGCATGTCGCACGTTGTCATTCTCATGCAGGAAACCAGTGTTATTTCCTTCATCTCCGCTTTCATCATCACTCTCCTCATCATCTACTGAATCTGTAGACTGTTTCGGCTGTTAATAAAGCTCTAGGCGGTTAACGTAAATAGGTAGGACTGGCTAGCCGTACCCTTTGACCTATGGCACGCCAAAGATTCCTAAGTTACAATTAGCCATATATACAGTTGCATATGACTGAGAAAAGGGCTCAATCCCATACATTGGTTTAGATCTTTCAGCTCGCCCGGCCATTTTATCCGATTTATCTGCTTCTGGCTCAACTCGACTGTTTTCACTTGTGGTCGAGTCGTCTGTATTTAACGGGTGGAGAGGATCGAACTCGATTTTGTGCTGCCGAAGAAGTACCTCGTAGTATCTTAGGCGCGCCAACAGCTCACTCTCGGGAAACCTGCGGCGTCGCTGGCGGGTTGCTTGCTCGCATGGGACGCTGGCGAGTACACAGTTGGCGCATGGAAAGGAGCGCTGGTATTTGACCTTCCGCTGCTGACACTGCACACAAGCCAGCACCCGTTGGTGTCTAACGGGCAGTTAGCGCCATGATTGCACTTTAGAGGTGTCAATAGTTCATCCTGTCGCCTGAAGTTCGCGTGGAGAAGAAGACACAGAGAGAAGATGAAAAAGAAGTAGAAGTGAAGTCCTAGCATGCTCGTGGTTTAAAGTTCCGGCCCGCACTTTCTAACTCCCGCGGGCTAGACAGAAACATCCAAAACACCATCACCAACTGCAGTTACAATATGCGAATCCCCGGCTGGATTTGTTACTGCGTATACCTTATAAATATAAGACGTTGGGGCTTCTTCTGCCTTGCCTTCTGTCTCACGATGTTTGTCCATCAACCTCAATCGCACTTCTCGCAGAAGCATCAAGACAATGGCTTCCTCACGCGCTTTCTCCCCCGATAGCACCGAATCCCCAGTGGCCGATGTACCAAAGGTGGCCAGCCAGCATTGTGACTTGACCCCAGATTTCACAGCTAAAAGTGAGAACTCCGAGAAACAGCCTATTATCCAGGTTGTCTGTCTCATCGTTTCGGCCTTTGCCGCCATGTTCCTGGTTGCGCTGGACAGAACAATCATCTCAACATTGAGGACATTTCACTTACACGGAAATGGAATCAATTAGTCAAGTCGCTGACAGTCATAAAATCTATAGGCGATACCCAGAATCACTGATGAATTTGAGTCCTTGCAGGATGTTGGCTGGTATGGCAGCGCCTACTTGCTGACATGCTGCGCGTTCCAACTTCTGTTTGGGAAGCTATACAAGCTCTTCTCTGTCAGGATCATCTTCCTTTGCAGTATTGGACTATTTGAGGCTGCCTGTGCAATCTGTGGAGCGGCTCCCAACTCGTTATCATTCATCGTTGGAAGGGCAATCTGTGGTATTGGAGCGGCCGGTGTTCTTGCTGGAACTGTAAGCATAATATCCTTTTAACAATCGCTGTTGATTAACCTTATTCCTAGATAATGTGTATCGTTCATCCTGTGCCCCTCAAGAAGCGTCCACAAATTCAGGGGTTGTTTGGTGCCCTTTTTGGCATTGCCTCTGTCGTAGGGCCATTGATTGGCGGCGCATTTACTTCGAATGTCTCATGGAGGTGGTGCTTCTACATCAACCTTCCCATTGGTGGCGTCGCAATATTTTTCATTGTCTTCTGCCTCAAACTTGCCAAGCGAGATATGATAAGGGTACCCATAGCTGAGAAGCTGGTACAGCTTGATTCCCTGGGGACTACTCTGTTAGCGCTTGGAGTGGTCTCCCTTGTGCTGGCACTTCAGTGGGGGGGCCAAGCATATCCCGTACGTTATTTGACAGTGCGGCTGCCTATCATCTTCTTCCTTCAACTAACATCTAGGTAATAGTAGAGCAGCGGCCGTGTCGTGGCTTGCCTCGCTCTCATGGCAGTTTTGATTCCTGCCTTCGTTGCTGTTCAGGTGCTTCTCCCAAGACAGCTACGCTTCCAGCACGTATATTCTCGCAGCGAAGTGTTCTTTCGGCCTTTTGGCAAACTCTGTATCGGCTCCGGAAATTATATATTTGGTAGGAATGGAATATTATCCATAGTACTGCAAGCAACTAACTATTTATCAATATAGCATACTTCTTGCCAGTTTGGTTTCAGTCTATCCAAGGTACCTCTGCTGTGAATTCTGGCATTCTCTTGCTACCAATGATGCTCTCAATGGTCGTTGGATCAGTCGGTGGCAGAGCTATAAACTCTAGAATCGGATACTATACCCCATTGGCAATTATTGGTTCCTGCATAATGTCGGTCGGCGCTGGCTTTCTCACCACTCTGAAGGTGGCTAGCGGCAAAGAAGGATGGATTGGCTATCAAGTAATCTACGGATTTGGGTTAGGTCTATGTTTCCAGGTTCCTAACCTTGCTGCACAAACTGTTCTATCAAAACCTGACATACCGCTTGGTTTGGCGTTGATGTTATTTGGACAGCTTATTGGAGCAGCAGTCTTTGTATCTGTTGGTGAAAACGTCCTAGCAAATCAGCTAGTGAAGAGACTTTCAGCTCTTCCAGGGTTTACTCCCGGTCTCGTTACTTCGGGTGGGATCACAGGACTATTCAATACAATACCCACGGATCAACATGATATACTCCGCTTCTCCTATAATGAAGCACTACGAAGCGTATTCCAGGTTGGCCTTATTGTTTCATGCATGTCGTTGCTTGGTGCTGCCACGCTAGAGTGGAAGAGCATCAACAGAGTGCAGAGCAAGCTTGATACTGAAAACAAAACAACTGGCGGTGAAAAGGCTGGACAGGAAACCCGAAATTAACTAGAAACGAGTAAGTATAAACATTGCTTTTACAGAACAGTTAGTTTGCTTTGAAGAAATGACTACTTTATATCTAATCCTTAATCCCAATCCCCAGAGCCGCAAGATTAGCCAATGATTTGACAGTATAATTCGGTCACGTGATTGCTTAGGGTATTAGTCATCCACTTTTCTAGGTTGGCGGCTCCCGATGAAACCAACACCGGCTTCTAAGTAGCATTTCCGTTTCACATTCTCCTCCTTGATGGATCTCTAGAGGAGGTCATGGCGGAATTTCAGATATACCAACTTGCAGTACCATTTGTTGTACTGCTGATAGCGTTTCTTTCATATACTTCGCAATATTTGTTCCTCTTCCTTGAACCTGCACCGCTGAGTACACCCGAACTCGTCAAATTCAACATCCTGGTGGCTTGCATATGGATATGCTATGCCAGAGCCTGCCTAACGGATCCAGGGAGAATCCCAAAAGACTGGAAGCCATCCACTACCGCAGGTGCATTGTTAGAGAAGCATCTTGGTCTCGAAGAGGGCAGCGATCCTTCTTATCGTCAACGATGGTGTCGAAGATGCGAGGCGTTCAAACCTCCCAGATCTCACCATTGTAAAACTTGCCAACGGTGAGCGCAGCCAGCTCAGGAAAGCACGCTTATATGTTTATATAACTCATGTACTGATGTACCGTGGAGATGTATCCCTAAGATGGACCACCATTGCCCATGGACACATAACTGCGTCTCGCATTTCACATTCCCGCATTTTATTCGTTTTCTATTTTATGCAGTAATTTCCATGATATATCTTGAACGCTTTCTTTATATCCGTATAGCGGTGTTATGGAACAACCGAAGCCTACCAAGTGTATGTTCTACCTTTGTGGCCATGGCTAATCGTTTTATCCTATTCCACTAACACTAGAACCATAGTTATACGGTCCCTCTCTAGCTCATTTAGGGCATCTCTTTGTGCTTGCTATTACTAATACTGTAGTTCTTCTTGCCCTGTTGATTCTACTACTTCGAAATATATGGATGTTGGGTGCAAACGAGACTACTATCGAGGGATGGGAAATTGAAAGGCACAAGACGTTGTGTCGACGAGCACGAACCCTGGGTGGATACCTCGAAGGTCCAGATGGTGTCAAAGTCTGGATTAAAAGACAAGAATTTCCATATGATATTGGTGTTTGGAATAACATTAGAGATGGCATGGGTGGTAGTAATAATGTGTGTTGCCAATTCTATATTCAACACTCCTTAAACAAAGTCATATTCTAACAAAAGCAACTTTCTAGATATTTAGCTGGTTTTGGCCCTTTTCACGAACACCGGATCGGCGCACTGGGTTAGAGTTTGAAGTTAATGGCTTTGAAGGTATGTGTTACTTCTGGCTGTCACCTTAGAGCACAAAATTGATGTCTGAAGATGAATCTCTCACCTGGCCTCCACCGGACCCTGACAGGATGTCCCGAAACACGCCACAAAGGCAGGATAGAACAACACTTCTTGGAGATGGTCAAAATTTTGACTATGACGAGATTGAGGCATTTCATAAGCGCCAGGAGGCAGACTATCTACGCCAGCGAGCTGTTTCCGAAGTCCGCCGTCGAAAACCGTTTCATAAACGCTATATAAAAAAGGGGGATGATGGCTATCTATCCAATATCTCCAACTCGGAAGACGAGGAATCATCCAACAGTGGAGAAGAAGGCTGGAGAAACTCGGAAGGTGAAAGGTTGAAAGATTTCGGAGTTGATGAAAAGGTTGAATTCTACGATGAGGATGATATACCACTTGCCGAATTAATACAGCGAAAAAAACTTCGGTCATGATGAAAAGGCAAGTGTCCTCCCAAAGCCCAAATTAATAGAGCCTCGCAAAGGATGCACTTACATAAATACTGGGATCTATAGTTACCCTAGGGGTGAAGAGGCGATTATAGTGCTAGCCGTAACCAAAATAGAATATTATTGAATCAAGGCAGCCGTTTCGACGGAAGATCCAAGTCTATAACTATATACGTACATAGTTTGGAAGATTTCAAAAAGGACTGCGCTTCTTCGTGACATACGCTTGCATCCTTTATAATACGCCCTACCAGGTCCCTGTAACCAAAACATTCGTATAATTTGAGTCATAGCCTACTATATGAAGGAGACTGGTATATCTTCAATCGTTTATAAAGGCGTTCACAAAAGTGTTCAGCTTCATCAGTCGGTCAAATTATTAACTTCCTACTTCATGTTCCGTTTCTTCTGATACAGATAACTGTATATAAGTTCCACTTGAAAACAGGCTACAGCATGGAGGAAACAATATCCAGTTTCAAACTAACCCCGAGAATTCACCTTCGTCGCTACAAACCAAGCGACATCGATCTGATCTGCATGCTTAATGAAGATGAAGGCGTAATGAAATACATCGACAGTGAGCCGCCATCTCGGGAAGAAGTCGAAGAAGAGGTCCAAGAGATCATTCAAGCATACAATTTCAACCCTCGAACTGGCAAATGGATAGCCGAAACACCGACAGCTGAAGGCATGGAATTTATTGGCTGGTTCCGGCTGGGTGATCTAGATCAATTCTCACAAGAGTGCTTTAGCAATGCCAATACTGAAAGCAAGGAAAAAGGCCTGCGGCTGGAACTTGGATATCGGATTCGCCGTCGGTTCTGGGGTCAGGGGCTAGCAACTGAAGGAGGCCGAGCTCTTGTTCGATACGCCTTTTGTTCCCTGAACGTCACCCAGGTAGTGGCCGGGACGATGTTTGTCAACTCGGGATCCCGTCGTGTCATGGAGAAATGCGGTTTGAAGCATGTAAAGACACTCTATCTGGAGTTTCGTGACCCGCTCCCGGGGACAGAATTGGGTGAAGTGTTCTATGCTATCACTAGAGAGGAGTGGGTGGATTCTGTTGGTAACTGCGAAGAAACTATATCTAATGGGCTTGAATAAGGGGTCAGATGGCCAAAGGGGTATGTATGTATTGTGGATTGAGATATTATTAAAAGCGTCTAATTACTATTCTCGATAAGCAGATAAAACGCTAAAATAAAGGAAACAAAAGTCAAAGAAGAGTAAATTCACATGCCAAGGGTATTCTCGCTCCAGAAAGACCAAAACAGTGACGGGCGAAGGTCGTAAATTCATTAGATGAAGCAGATGTAAACGGGAAAACAGTAATCACACAAGCCTTATCAGTTACCGGTCCAAGGTATTAGGGAGAGAAAGACTCGAAATTGGTATGGCAAGGCTGCGGGCATCAGACCAACCTCTGTAGCTGGTCCCCAAGCTGAGGGTTTCCTTCCACGCCAGCACACTCAACTTCTCCGGCTGCATTTGTTTGGAGTTTGACTGACATATAATCACCATCTCCTCCTTGTGCTCCGACCGAAACCCAGACAAACTTGCTCCCAGAAGCGCTCGCCCAAGATCGCTCTTGAGCTCCATCCCAGAAAAGGTCTGCAGAGGTACATTTTATGGCACCATTGACTTTCGAGACAGACGAGAGAGACACCCTTCCTCCAAGTCTCTTGTTAGTAGCCCAGCAATCAATGACCGTTGTGATAAATTCAAGTTTCTTTGGAAAAGAGTTTGCCTCGAGGATGTCTCTGAACCGTTCAGCAGTGATACCCGGAATCTTTGTAGAGATACCAGAGATGGACGATAGATAAGCAGAGGCCGGCTCTGATATGACTGTTCTGGTATCGAAACCGCTGGGGTGCATTTTGCCTTTCACAGCAAGGTATCTAGCTGCTGACGGTGAAAGGTGATAGAAGTCAATTCTACAGGAGTTGGCCAGCTCTGATGGATCAGCTGGTCGCTGCTCGGGTAGATATAGCACAAGCTTAGTATGATCAGGGAAGTTAAACTAAAAAAACGTGGGTTAGATACTGAACGGTTACTGTTTTGGTAAAAAGGAGGAGGATCTTACCTGGAATGCACCGTCTCCAAAGCCCCAGACTCCAACATTTCCGAGCCTCTGGTAGAATTTGATGTATTGGCCGCTGCTTTTCGATTTCGATGGTTCAATAGCGCCTCTCCCTAGAGACCCTACCATATATTTGCCGAACTGATCTACCAGTCTGACACGATTTGCCTTCTCAGCGCTTCGGACTGTGCAGAGAACGTTTGCTGGCTTGTCTGGGCTTGACCGTCTTGTCTCGAACGTCCGTGCAGGGAGAAGAGCTCTCCTGATAGTTCCGTCGGAATACCCGTCCGCATTAATTTCTACATTTTCATAGAATTCAATGGGCTTGCCATCTCTTGGAACAAGCTGATCGACTTCTGAGTAGGAGTTAGCATTTTCTGGGTCTCCTTTCGCGCGCGCCTTTAGCCGAAGGTGGCTTTCACCATCCCTAACTACTACTCCCGTTGCGGGATAGCCATTCTCGCCCCTGAAAACGCAACCAACGCTTCCTTCATCCAACACGTAGGCAATCCCATATCGGTTCGTGTAGTCAACCCACTTCACAACATATGGATGGGCTCCGGATTTGGAGGTTGATTTAGGTTGAGCAGCCCTGTTCCCAGAGCTTCTAAACGAGCTTTGGGATGGTTTCTCACGAAGGATGGACTGGTATATCTGGAGATCAGTTACAACTTCCTGCACGCTTGATCCTGGCAGCACTTCTGACTGATCCTCTGGCAAAAGAAGTGGGCCAGACCCCAACGCCGACCTTGATTTACTGCCACTGCTAGATGCGGCTGACGAGGTGGTTGATGATCTGGTCAGGCCTTGTGGCTTATTTGAACGAGATGCAACGTCCCTGCCCGTAACTGATGATTGACTCTGATGCCGGCGTAAGGTAGAAGTTGAGTCTGACCGAATAGGTATCGTACGTCCGGAACCTACGTTTGATCTAGGCTGACACGCCGCTGGTTTGACAGGTTCTTCAAGCACGTTCTGGTGTTCGGTATTTTGGAGACTATCCACAGGGGCAGACCCCGAGTTGGGAGCTTTGTTACTGGAGGCAGCCCCAAGTGCCGCTGGGGTTGAGGTTGATTTGGACATAGATGTAGTGGGTGCCCGAGTCTTTTCCCGCATTGACTCATGGTAGGCTTGTGCAGTCTGTGATCGTGTGCGTATAGGGCGTTGGCTAAGTAGATTCCGAGTACTCCTGATGGCTGGATTCTTCTCCGGCACGGCATCAGGGGGTGCCACTGTAGCTTGAGTGGCAGTTGAAGAAGTGTCCTTTGCTGCTGGACGAGGTGCAATTGCCTGTTGACGAAGCATGGCAGCATGATTCTTGGGAGCGGATTCTCGGCGGTTGAGCTGGGCAGCCAGAGCGATCTCGGTCCTCGCTATCATTGCTGCCTTTGATTTAGTCAAAGTATTCCGGCCATCAATAGCTCGATTGCTACTTTCTTGGTCCTCTGGCAGGTCATTTTCCGCCTCTGCTTCGTCAAGACTCCAATCCTTGCCATTATCAATGTAGTAGCTGTAGACTCTGTCGGATGGCAGAGGCATAACAGGCTGGAGACCCCTCTCTTCCTCGGTAAGGCATTCAGCAAAAGCAGATTTTCCACATCTTTTCCCTGCCGATTTTCGTATTTCCCCTGAGCTCCGTCTTCCAACGCCGCACTCCGCGTAAAAGATGTTCTTACATATGATGTATCTCTGGGTAGAATTCGTAACGTGGGATATAAGTTTCCTATATGTATGGTCGTACTCCAAACTGTATCCAGAGGCCGGGTTGTCGCCTCGAGGGCTATCTTTTGTTAACCAATGTGGAGGTGATGTGCGAGATTCGGGTTCGAGTTCACGGGGAATGCAGCCATTGTACATATTGAAGAATGGATGATCTACAATTTGGTCGGGATCCGGTCTTTTCTCTTCCGCAAGGTTCAAGCAAGCAGTAACTAGATCTTTAGCCTCGTCCGGGATGTAATTTGCACTTTCGGTGTCAACTGGCCAGTCGTAACTCAGTGACTTCACCTTCTTGTAAATTTCCTCTTGGGTTTTGGATTGAAATGGGGGAAAACCCGTAAGCATGGCAAAGCTGAATCAACGGGACTCCAGTTAGCTACTTTTTCTTCACTTGGTGGGGAATCCACAGCACTTACAAAATCACACCCAAAGACCAGATGTCGACTTTTTGATTGTGACCTCCTTTGCTCTTATCCAGAACCTCTGGAGCAATATAATTCGGAGTCCCGCACAGCGTCTTTCTTCTCTTCTCATCTTTCTCGCTGAGCATCAGGGCCGCCAGCCCGAAGTCGCCAACTTTGATATTCATGCATTGGTCGAGAAACAAGTTTCCCATTTTCAAGTCACGATGAGCAACATGACGTTTGTGGAGGTACTTCACAGCGCCACAGAGTTGTACCATAAACCTTCGTACCTCTGGCAGACTTAGGAACTTTCTTTTCTTCACCATATCCATCACTGAACCATTGGGACAAAGCTCGAGAACCACGTATATGTTTTTCCGGAAGGAAAACGCTCGGTGAAATGTAACAATGTTAGGATGTTTCATCTTTGAGTGAATCTGCAGCTCCGTCCGAAACTGTAACAATCCAATTGAGTCAGCTATCAAATTAAACCCGTACCCATTGGTAGATAGCGCATACCTTTTCCTCCATCTTCTTTTGCTGCATTTCAGACTTGACAACTTTCATGGCAAATATACGACCATTCCTTACAAGCTTCCCTTCATAGCAGACTGCAAATCCTCCCTTTCCCAGGAAGCTACCTATCTCATATTCCTCTCCGCAAGGGCCAGGCTCCTTGACCTCGGGAGGTGGAGGTGTTGCATGATGCCGATGGGATGATGGCTGTTTTTGGGCAGGATTGGTCTTGACCGATAACTTTTTGGCTCCTTCAACTTTTGGTTTTGGTGGAATGTTGGTTGATCGCGGAGATAGTGGCTCCATGGCTAGTAACAATTGCGAAGAAGTTGCATAGAGCAAGGTGGTGGCTCAATGGACAAGCTGAGAGGTATGGCAGTCTCCAATTCGAGTGTATAGGGCGCTTTCTTCGAGTAATTGTAGAGGTGCCACAGTAGGTATTCCTGGTGAAGAATTATGTATTCTTTGAATATTGCGCCGGCAGGGATGAATTCCGATGATAACAGGACGAGACAACAGAAGATAAGAGTAATGCACGCAAACAAATGCTCAACAAAGACGTAAAACTGCTAACAAGATATCGCATGCAAGTCTGGTCAAATGTCAGCTCTCCGCCACAAACGAGTGCGTCTCTCCGTCTCTCCGTCTCGTCGCTTCTCTCAGGTTTACTGTTTACTTCTCGACAAGCAAAGCGAAGTTGCAGCTTTTTGGCCCGGCAACGCTTAGCCTAAATGGGAAATATGTAAACAAAAGTCATCGGAGCGGAAAAACGAGGCGGAACCTTATCTATATTAGATAATCATCTAGTTCTCCTCTTGGCATTTTTTCCCTTTTCGACTTCCTCGAACTCCGTCCTCGAGATATCCAACTCGACATTCAAACCTGCAGGATTTACGGGAGTACGACTGTTGGATAGCCGCGTTGGACTGTTTCCTAGTTGTATATCAAGTCACTTTGTTTTGAGAAGATGCGGTGATCACGTCGCTCGTTGAGTTCTGAAACCCGTGGACTGAATAACCCCACGCCCAGAGAATGGTAGCTACGCGATGTCGAGTATCACACTCAAGCTCTCGTCTCTTGTGATAAGGACGCTCTCGAAACCCATAGCAGTAAGCATGGCGGATATCGGAATCCCCCTTTCTATGGGCCGGGCTGACAGTTTCGCCTTTCCGAGCAGAACCAAATCAAAGCACAAGCTCGTGAGCATGAGCGGTTTCGTCGGATATGCGTGTCGTTCGCGCAGAAAGTGCATCGCATTGACATGCGGTTAAGGCTCGGCCTGCTCCAAAACACTGCTGCTCTCGAAAAGCAAGCTGCCCGTGAGGCGGCTGAAGCACACGCTAAGAAGATAAAACTCCAAACACCCACAGTCAAGACGGAGGCCCAGACGAAGGCCGATGAGTTGCTCAAGGCAAAGGAGAAAGCAGGAGGCGCCGCCGTTAAGACTCCGCCCATCCCTCGGATTCGGCCGTTGTCTGAAGGCAAAGCAATCGACATGGGAGCAAACTTCATCAGCGAGACATTCTTGTTCCTTGTTGGAGGTGGACTGATCATCTTCGAGTCGCTCCGGTCCCGACGGAAGGAAACCTCACGACGGGAGGACGTTGCCGACCGTCTAGCGGAACTGGAAGAGTCAGAGAATGCTGCACGCGCTGCTTTGATCGTTCTGGAGAAGGAGGTTCTCAGGCTACAGTCCCAGCTTGAGAAGCGCCCTGTTAAAGATTTGAAGCGGGTTCTGCCGAAGGAAATATGGCAGGTTGAGGAAGAACCGGAGCCAGAACCAGAGCCTTCGCTTCTCACAACCATATCTTCCTATTTCCAGTGGCCAAAAACACCCAGCAATACTCCTGCTGCAGCTGCTGTTCCACCCGAGCCGCAAGCATCCCAACCGGCTCCAGCCCAAGCTCCATCGAAGCCAGATGCAACCTCTCCAACCACACCTCTACCGAAGAAACAAGTTTAATACTCAATCAATTAGCATGTTCGAGCATAACTCACATCTAATGCTTTTGAGATACCCTCCCCTCAGTCTCAGTTATACTTGATCTTTAGCGTCATATTCTGATACAGACCCGTCCCACTCCAAGTAGACGCCTCCTTTTTTTGTCGATATAGCCTCCATACGTGTACATTAATTATTAGAACCATAGCTAGGCCCATTGAATAGACTGTATTTGTCACACTGTCCACAGTCGCCGTCGCCCCTGCAGGCTCCTCCGTAGCATAAGACAAGAGTAATCAGAGTAATCAGCCTGTGGCGCAGCGAAAAAAGACTTGAAAAGCCGCGTGGGAGGCTGCATCACCCTTATTACATAAGCAATGACATTTAATTAGTTCTTGAAATGTCACTGACTGGCAACACTTTTTGGCAGATCAGGCCTGGCGTTTGTTTGAGCTTTAGATACCCAAGGCAAGGCCCTTTTGTTATATTATTCTACCTCGTCCCGAACCTTTACGAAAGCGCCCCGGCATCTCCAGGCCTGCCACTGCTCCTCGGCCGTCAAGGAACTGCAGCGCCGCGCCCAACGTCACAATCCCCAGGCTCACCCTGAGTTGGCCGTCCAGCCAGCCCCGTGTGAGCTGCTATCAGAAGAATGGTAAGTCGCATGCTTGGAAAACTTCAGTCCGATACGAGGGAAGAAGCTATACTAACCCCTTGTTGCCTTCTAGGGTTATTCTAAACGTCCTCGCGATGATAAGAAGAGTAAAGGCGGGCGGTCTAAACATGCGGGGGATAAGGGCTCCGGTCAACCGCGAGTAAAAAAGGCCGTCTTTGAGAGCACCAAGAAGAAGGAAGTCGGTGTATCAGACTTGACGCTGCTCAGCAAGGTGTCCAATGAAGCTATCAATGAGAATCTGAAGAAACGGTTTGAGCATGGGGAGATTTACGTGAGTGCTGCACTATACCTGCGGTGTGTTGCCCCTTTACCAGCTGCACGCTAACGTCAGGTCGCAGACATATATCGGCCATGTGCTTGTCTCCGTCAACCCGTTTCGAGACCGTAAGTGTACCTGTCTGCTCTCGGTAGTTTTTCTAAGTCTAACGTATATTGCTTGCTTAGTCGGGATATACACCGACGAGGTACTGGATTCGTACCGCGGGAAGAACCGTCTCGAAGTAAAACCGCACGTCTTTGCAGTCGCCGAGTCAGCGTACTATAACATGAAAGCATACAAGGAAAACCAATGTGTTATTATCTCAGGAGAATCGGGTGCTGGAAAGACGGAAGCTGCTAGACGATTGATGCAGTATATCGCAAACGTCTCGGGGGGTTCAGATTCTTCCATTCAAGAAACCAAGGATATGGTTCTGGCAACCAATCCGCTCCTGGAATCGTTTGGAAATGCGAAAACATTGCGCAACAACAACTCATCGCGATTTGGAAAATACTTAGAACTCCAGTTCAATTCGGTTGGAGAACCCGTCGGAGCCGTGATCACAAACTATCTATTAGAGAAGTCCAGAGTCGTGGGCCAGATCACCAACGAACGAAATTTCCATATCTTCTATCAATTTACGAAGGCTGCCCCCCAGTCATACCGCGGTACGTACCTGTGGAGAATATATATATATATATATATATATAATCAATTGCTAATAAAGTTAAACAGAAGCATTTGGAATTCAGAAACCGGATGCCTACCTATATACTAGCCGCTCAAAGTGCTTTGATGTGCCTAATATAGATGATTCAGCGGATTTTAGAGAGACCGTTGAAGCCATGAAGATCATTGGCTTAAGCCAGGCTGAACAGGACAACATCTTCCGTGTACTGGCTGCTATCCTCTGGCTAGGAAATATGCAGTTTGTTGAGGATGACCAGAGCAATGCCACTATCACCGACCGGTCGGTCATCGACTTCGTTGCCTATTTAATGGAAGTGGATGCAGACCAGGTTCAAAAGGCCCTTACTCACAGAATCGTGGAAACCGCAAGAGGAGCTCGGAGAGGTTCTATCTATGAAGTGCCACTGAACACGGTGCAAGCTATGGCTGTTCGTGATGCCTTGGCAAAGGCGCTCTATTTCAATCTCTTTGACTGGATTGTACAGCGAGTGAATGCATCCCTGGTTGCGAAAGGAGCCGTTTCAAACTCCATTGGTATCCTGGATATTTATGGATTTGAAATTTTCGAGAAGAACTCATTCGAACAGCTTTGCATCAATTATGTCAATGAAAAGCTCCAGCAGATCTTTATTCAATTGACATTGAAGACAGAGCAAGAAGAATATGCCCGGGAACAAATCCAATGGACGCCCATCAAATACTTCGATAACAAGGTTGTTTGCTCGTTGATTGAAGACAAGAGACCTCCGGGAATCTTTGCTGCGCTTAACGATGCCTGTGCTACTGCACATGCGGACTCAGCGGCAGCAGATCAAACCTTTGTTGGTCGATTGAACTTCCTTGGCCAAAATCCAAACTTCGAATCCAGACAAGGACAGTTTATTGTCAAACATTACGCTGGCGATGTGTCTTATGCCATTGAAGGAATGACAGATAAGAACAAGGATCAATTGCTCAAGGATATATTAAACCTAATCAACTCGAGTGGTAACGGCTTCTTGCATACCCTTTTCCCGGACCAAGTGAACCAGGATGACAAGAGACGCCCTCCAACTGCTGGTGACAAGATCAAGGCCTCTGCAAATGATTTGGTTGCAACGCTAGCCAAAGCCCAGCCATCATATATACGGACAATCAAACCAAACGACAACAAGTCCCCATCCGAGTACAATGTTGGAAACGTTATGCATCAAATCAAGTATCTTGGTTTGCAGGAGAACGTCCGAATAAGAAGAGCCGGTTTCGCTTATCGACAGACATTCGACAAGTTTGTTGAACGGTTTTACCTCCTTTCTCCCAAAACCTCGTACGCGGGTGATTACACTTGGACTGGCGATGCTGAGTCCGGTTGTCGACAGATCTTGAAGGACACAAGTATCCCCGCTGAAGAGTACCAGATGGGTGTGACCAAGGCTTTCATCAAGACCCCCGAAACGCTTTTCGCACTTGAGCACATGCGAGACCGTTACTGGCATAACATGGCCATCAGGATACAGCGTGCATGGCGCAACTACCTCCGATATCGAACCGAATGTGCCATCCGCATCCAACGCTTCTGGAGACGTGTCACCGGTGGCCTGGAGTTCATCAAGCTACGAGATCAAGGCCACCGAGTACTTAGTGGGAAAAAGGAGCGTCGACGATTCAGCCTTCTTGGTTCAAGGAGATTCCTAGGTGACTATATAGGTGTTGGAAATAAGGGTGGATTTGGGGAGATCGTTAGAGACTCCATTCGCCTTTCTAGTGAGTATTCAGATGCGGCCCTCGTGTGTTTGATAACCCCCCCATTGACGCGTATGACTGTAGGTTCCGAAACAGTACTTTTCTCCTGTCGTTGCGAGTTGCTGGTAACAAAATTCGGCCGATCGAGTAAACCTGCACCACGACTTTTGATTCTGGTATGAATTTCTTCTCGTACAGTTGAGATTCCGAATGGATACTAATAGGGTACATGTGGTAGACTGCTAAAAATGTTTACATTGTTGTTCAAGCAGTTGTGAACAACCAGCTCAACATATCCGCTGAGCGGACCATCTCACTGGGCGCAATCAAGGCTGTTGGAACGTCCAATCTGAAAGACGATTGGTTTTCAATAGTTGTTGGTGCACCCCAGGAGCCAGATCCCCTATTGTCCTGTGTGTTCAAGACGGAATTCTTCACTCATCTCACCAACGCCTTGCGCGGACAGATGAACCTCAAGATTGGTGATGTGTATGTTTCACCAGCACTTTTGTCTAATAAACTAAAAAATATACATCATGCTAACCTCTGAGCTTAGGATTGACTTCAATAAGAAACCCGGCAAGTTGGCACAGGTCAAAGTGGTCAAGGATCCGGCCGTACCCCGGGACGACGTGTATAAGAGTGGAACCATCCGCACAGCTCCCGGAGAGCCAGCAAACTCGGTCTCCAAGCCAACACCGCGGCCAAAACAGGTTGCCGGCAAGCCCATCAGTAAAGGCAAACTTCTACGACCTGGCGGTCCAGGGGGCGGCCCATCCAAGCTCTCGCAAGCAGCGGCCAAGCCCAAGCCACGTCCTGCACCCCAGCAGCTTCCGGGCAGTGGCCAACAGTCAACTCTTGAGTCGCGGCCTGTTCCCCAACCTGCCGCCGTTGCTGCTGCTATAGCAACTTCGAACCATAACCGCGTTAGCTCGACAGCTTCACAATCCCAGTCACGGCCGCCACCACCTCCTCCTCCAGCTCCCCAAGCAGCTCCACCGCCCAAGAAGCCCATGGCCAAAGTGTTGTATGACTTTAACAGTGGGAATACAAATGAGCTGGCAATCCGGCAGGGAGAACTGGTACAGATCATCTCCCGTGAAACAAACGGTATGCCTTCCTTTTTAACCTATCCTATTATACAAGTATGAAAGTATACTAATTAGTATCTAGGTTGGTGGCTATGCATGAACCCAAGCACCGGCGTCCAGGGCTGGACACCAGAGGCATACATTGAGGAAATCAAAGAGGCAGCTCCACCGCCTCCCCCTCCACCACCGCCCGTAGCAGTCCGGGCCCCAGCCCCAGCTCCAACACCGACATCTAACGGTGCAGGTGCAGCGCGTGCGAGCGGAACAGCCGCTGCAAAGGCCAAACCAGCTCCGCCGGCACCCCCCGCAAAACGGCCCAACATGCGCAAACAAGTCCAGACCCCCGTGGCTCCGCGGGATAGTGCCGTTAGCATGAACTCGCAGGACTCCTCGGGGGCCAGTGGGCGGGCGACGCCAAACAGTTTGAACAATGCCAGCTTGGCGGGAGGACTTGCAGAGGCCCTACGGCAGCGACAGAGCGCGATGCAAGGGAAGAATAACGACGACGACGACTGGTAGGGGACATGCTTAGACGGTAGTTACTTGCTGGTAATTGTTTTTTGTTTATAAACGACGCTGCCGTTTGTATCTTTTTGCGTGTGTTTGTTGTTTTTATGTCTATGGAGATTTGCAGCTGAATATTAGAATGGTTGAGTTGATACTTTTTTCAAAAGGGTGTTTATTTACTATCACTATCACACTATCTATTGCTTGATTTGTGCTACAAGACGGTAGAAGTCAATCAAAAAAAAAAAAGAGTGCCGAGTTAGAGATCTATCGCTACCGTGACTGGAATTCATCGATCATGGAGATCATAAACAAGTAACGCTGCAAATAAAATGCCACACAAACATCCAAGGAAGAATCCAAGGGAGGGAGAAATTAAAGAGAACAAAAGGGGTGAAGATATCAAGATATTAGGCTAGAGAGTGAAGGTGAATGGGATCTACCTGGGAGCAGAGGTCGGGGTGTGGACGGGCGAGGGGGCCTGGGGATGGGATATAGGGGTCGGGGGCGCACTTGTCGTAGGCGTGGCCACTTCTATAGCGATGCTGGGCAAGGTAGACAGCGGCGGCAGGCGAGGAGGCTGCTCGGGGGGCCTTGCTTCAGGCTCAACTGCTTCTCTTTCTCTGTCTGTTTCCTGCGTGACCATGCTGGCTGTTTCATTGGGAGGTGTTGGTTGATACGGCGGTGCATCCCCCCAGCCACCGCCCATGCCAGTAGCAGTACCCGTCTCACTGATAGCATCATCGTAGGGCGGCGGAATGGAATTGATGCCCAAATCTGGTCCCGCGGTGCCCAGGGAGGAAACGTCCGAGTGTACAGAGGCCTGCGAGAGCAACGAAGAGGCGGACGTGGTGCGCTGATGCGAGTGGCCCATCATGCCCATACCGGCCGCAGAGTCCAGCAGGGCCCGCGAGTCCGAGTCCGGCGAGTGCGAGCCAGACGTGAGTCTCGTACCGTCGTGTCTGACATGCCCGATATCAGCGTAGGAGACGCTCGACACCCTCCTACCCCGGTTGCGAGACTGGTGTTCGGCCAGCAGCACGGCGGCGGAGACATTCGCTGCGCTGCCGTTGGGAGACGCACTGCCGTCCGCTGTTGCAGAGACGAGCCGGCCTGCCTCAGCCCTTGCCCGGCTCTCCCTGCGCAGCTCCTCCAGCCGGGCCCAGTCGCCTCTCTCGCGGGCCTCTCGACGCTGCTGCCGGAGCTCCTCGCGCTCCGCTATCTCTCGCCGCCGCGCCAGGCGGATCTGATACAGGGACTCCATCTGCTCCTCGCGGTTGGCTTCCTCCTCTTCGGCGGTCTCGGGGAACTCGATGACGACGTCCATGCCGTCTCGCTCGCCTTCACGGGCTATCACGCGCTCGCTGGCCTTGGGAGTGAGGGTGTAGGATGGCAGGGTCATGACGGAGCGGACGGAGGTGTTGCGGTCGACGGTAGCGGCGGCAGCCTGGCCCTGCCGGTCGTCGTCTGCTCCGTTAAGGGCTTCATTGGCCAGCCGTCTGTTTGTCCCGTTGGGCACGGCGTTGTAGGAGGACGAAGATGTCCCCGGAGTCCATCGCTGCCAGAGGCCCTTGAGGAAGCGGCCGGGGATGAATCGGGGCTGGTAGTCGCGGCGGTGGAGGTGACGCAGGACGAAGAACGCGGTGATGAAGGCCACGACGAGCGCGAGGACGATGATGGCGACCTGCAGGCTGTTAGACAGTGTCTCTCTTTGGCTGATTGAGTGATGGATAGAAGGTCGATACGTACGAAGTAGAGGTTGGGCTCGTCGCCGGCGTCGTCGCTGGCTCGCCGCTGGATGTACATCGTGAGACTCAGTAACCGCCTAGCTTGCAGTCTGTCTCTGTCTCTTGACTTCTTCTATCCGTCTCTATCTCTTGACTTGCTCTATCCAGTGTTATTCCTGTCTGGTAATTCCTCTGATTCTTCGTGTCGTTGTCTGTCTGCCTGGATATCATGGCCGAGTCGCGGATTCACTGTCAGCCGCAGCACCAGCCGCGAGATTCCAGCAAGCCGCAGGCCCTTCGTCCTCTTTGTTCGTCTTGTTCGACCGTCAATTAGCTGTTATTCTTGTTATTCTCTTCTTCTTCTTCTCCGTCTGATTAGTTGTCTATTCCATGCCTTGCTGCGCCCGCCGGCTGGCGTCTGCATGCCAATCAACCACCAGCGCCGGACAGGGATGGACAAGGCATCCTCGACCACTCATGATTCAACTACTCTGGCTACGGAGAATACTACTAATAACTAGTTAATGATATGAAGGCCTGACCGTCGAGAAGCATCCGCAAGATCGCGGCCGCTGAGCCTGGCCCGATTCCACATAACTAACGCGCAGAGGATCCAGGCTCTCTCTCTGCTCCGCCAGCATCGATGGAACCAGATTCCACACTACGAGCAACGGACCAGCTAAAAGACCGTCTTATCACTCGGCGAGGCGTCCACTAGCTTCTGCCCAGCGGCTGAGGGCGTCTTGGAGGCCAAAGCAGGACTTGGTACGGAGTCTTCTTCCTCTCAGCCGCGTCTGATACTGACGATAGACAAGACAGGACAAGAAACGGACAAGAAACGGACGATAAAAGGATGATAAAAGGACGATAATCGTTGCTCCGGATGAAAGTGGCCTGCTTCTGCCTGAAAGGCATGTGGTTATGTCTTTCCTTCCAACCGGGGCTGATAGCAACGGACATATACCCAGAGTCTCATGGATAAAACTTGACAGAAGCCATGATAGAGATAATACTACGACATAAGGGACAGTGTCAGTAAGAGATATCGCCTCTGTTGGCAGCCGGTGGACTCGACTTTTGGTCCGGCTGTTTGATAGACGGCCAACACAGAGACTCCGATTGAGACGAACAAGACGCTCGACACGACAAATGAGAAACATACTAGCTATACTCCGAAATATAATAGCTATACTCCGTGACTGGAAGAAAGTGAACAGCGTTGTCCATGGTCCGGGTTCACTCGCGCTCAGATCGTGCTGCAGCAAGTGCAAATCGTGAGTGAAGGACTATGACTAGGACCACCGCTCCTCTCCAGGCTGTCCAGGCGATCTGAGGGTGTCATTAGAGTGGGAATCCGACTGAAGAGCAGCAGAGCCGCCGATGGATCAAGCAGATTCTATTCACAGGCCAGAGTTCATACGTAGCAAGGGGCCTGGTGTAGCCTTATCCACTTACTGTGTCTATATAGTTATAGCTATCAACAGATCATACCAATGGCCAGTATTATTGAATCCCAGGCCATTACTATCAACTGACACGCTGCTGCCACTCATCTCTGGCTTCGTAGTTCTATCCATGCCAATATCTCGGGAGAGCATCATGGACCTTGACTATACATACTTGTTTATATATCTATGAAAGCCAACCAAGTCGAGGCCTCAGCCCTGCCGCAGCTTTAATGCTCCGTCTGATAGTTATATATAGCGAATGGCTCTGCTATTGGCAGCTTGAATGCCCTTGATATGCGCTGACTCCGGCCTCTGCAACCAGATATATAAAACGCCAGCTCGCTTGTGCCACCACATCCCGATGCGCGAAGAAGCACAATACCAGCAAATCAGGCGATGAAAACTGGCGACGCTCGGCAGTCAAATGGCTATCTCTGAGATCACTGCGAGGAAGCATCTCTTAGCTGTCTGGTGAGCTGATTGACAGTGACATCCAGCAGCGTCTCACAGGAAGGACAAACAACCAACCTTACGCACGACATGATGGCCTGCAGCAGACGGCGCGCAGGACATGGCAGTCTGCCCTACACTACTCTTCCTACTCTTCTTATGCTGCTCTGCTCTGCTCTACTCTACTCTCTGCCGTCCCTGTTCAACTATATACGTGTGGACGGCGTTGGCCTGTCAGACCCCCCTCGGCCGGCTTCGAAAGGCATATATTAAAACAGTCCACGTTGAGTGGTTACGCCGGCCTGGAACTCCTGGTCAATGTCGATGTCTACTTACTTAGCTGCCTCCTCGATATTGTTCAAGGACTTAATATCAATCTACCCCATACGAAGAAACGAGGAGCCAGCCAACAGATTCACGGCGTGGCGAGACAGGGGCAGGCCATCCCCCCCCCCGGACTGCACCAAATCTTCATCTCCAACCCTGCAACAAAAAGGATATGCTTGTCCGGCAGGTGACGGTGATGTTGATGGATGTACCAGCAGAAGTCCGTCTGGGCTGATCCGTCGATCAAGGATGAGTTCGATACCGAGTGGCCCGGCCTGGCATCTGCATCTACTTACGACTAGTTATGTATACTTATAACTATGCAACCTCCCTGTACTTGTTGGTACGCCCTTTTCGCGCCGATATCACCGAGGACAGGACTGGACGCTGCTAGGCTCTGATAAGTGAGTGAGCCTTCTGCAGGCCGATCTTCCAGCGTTTCTTTTGCCGGGCGTTGGACAGGGTTTGCATGTCGTGCGTGATGGCAGATCTGACTTGTTGCATTCAAGTCAGAGTCCTCAACCAAGATGACCACACCCTCCCTCGGCTCGTATCATGCTTGCTGGCTCGTCCCTTCGCGCGCTTTTCCTTGGGGCTGGTCCATTGAATAGCGTTTGTCTAATTTCGATGTGGGCAAATTAGACGGGCCTCATCTGTCCTGGAGACTTTCTGCTAGGGGGATCCCCTGATCCCATCCCATATCCTGGCCTGCTCAATGCAACAGTACTTACAGTATAACATGGAAACCAAAAGGCGGTTGACGGCTTTCTACCTTGATCACGCCATGATACTGACATACTGCATATACTCCGTACATAAGTACGCTCTTATGTACGTCCATATGCATTGGCATTGGCCGGCGTATAGCAACCTACGGCTGTACCCTGCGAGCAGGCCGCCGTCAACACGGTCAGGATTCCCGAGTTAGTGTGTGTGCAGGCACCTGCAGCAGTTAATTATAATACTCTGCAGCGAGACCGGGTTGATCACACAGGTCGGTCGGTCGGCCCAAAAAAGGAGCCAGCCACCAGACCAGCAGACGGGACAAAGTCTGCTTTCTCACTTTCACTTCCCTACTCGCATTCGCATACTCAAACATCCCTACTTACCTGGACCGGGCCCGGGGGAGGAGCAGAAACTCTATGCAAGAACGAACCAAACAATGGCAGCAAACCCACAAAATACTAAGAAAAGAGAAAGAATGCCGTCTTCTCGCCTAGACGAACATATCATGTCATGCTGCGAAGCGGACAAGAGCCCGACATGCTGGATAGTCAAGGGGTCCGGGTAGTTTAGTCTAGCAAATCACCGCTTGCGGCAGCCCAGCGGCATACTTATACTGTAGGATGATGCCCCGGACATCCAGCAGTGCAAAAGAAGACCCATGGCTCATGGATGAACCGAACCCGATGCCCGCGTCCCGTCAGGCTGGTTCGGGGTGTGGACGTTTCCCATTCAGCGGGTCGGCGTTGGTACGACGTTGCAGGCTGGACAGAACGCACTCTGGGAACCGGGAACTGGGACTGGCTGGGCCCGAGATAATCTATACCGTTAGACGTTTCATACAGACTCGTACAGGAGGGCTGTTCTTCTTCTTATCGTGCAAACGCATACATAACTTGGGCACGACTGGGCTAATTTTTTAATGTTATGCATGTATGTAGGTGTAGGGGATGACAAGAGGGTGGGAAACCGGGCTTCTTCGTGCACCCCCCTCCTGCTCCTGCTCCTCGCCCCCTTCCCCCTTTGCTTCTTCTTCCTTTAGCATTTCAGTCAGCTTACCACTGTGTTGACTTTTGATGTGATTTGATTGATGGGTATTTAATATCGGGCAGATCGTTATGTGCAGCCAGCCGTAGATCTGCCGCTGAATAAGGCAGGCAAGTAGGGTACTCCGTATGCTTGTAGCTTATATGTAGGTTGCGAAATGTTAAGTTAACTATCTCTGCGCTTTGCTTTTTTCTCTTCTTCTCTGACCCTTCCGTCCGGCGGTATGGTTCGCTTTCATACTCTTGGGAGGCCGATTGGGATCGGGTCTGGCGATTCTGTCCAACAGTAACGTCTTTGAACGCTTCCCTCCGTTTGATTGTTGGGGGGGTTTGTGGTTGGTTTGGATTGGTTGGTGTGAGTGATAGGGAGACAAGAATTGGGGGGCGTTCGACGTTCAATCGGACGCTGTGCTGCCTATGCAATAATGCGTTTGTCTTGCTTTTTTTTATATCTCAGTTCGCATCCCAATTTCATAGAGCGATTTGGTATGTTGGTTGGTTGGATGGCTGGTTGGTAGGTAAAGCTGGTTGACTGGCTGGCTGGTTGGTTGATTTGATAGTTAAAAAAAGAGGTACAGCAAGGAAACTCGTCACTAAAGAATGAAAATAAAAAAGTAAAAAATGAATGCAAAAAAGGAAGAAAAGAAAATAAAAGTCATGTCATGTCTTGTTCATCATTTCGGCCTCGGGTTGGAGAAAAGATAATAAAAAAAGGCAGGAGGAATAAGAAAGGGGGGGACCCGCGGACTGTCTTGTCTCATTATGCATATACACCCGAAAGAGGAAAAGAAAAGAAAACCGCCCGCCGCCCGCTTAGAAAAGGATGAAGGATGAGGAGTAAGTCAGGAAACAAAGGGATAGGAAGGCGTTGGTCTGATACTTAGTTCGTGCGGAGGGAGTCACACATTGGGTCGTAGGGGGAGAAAAGGGCTAGAATGATGATGGGGGGGGAAGAAGGGAACAAACAAACCCGGCATTTTCAGGTCCCATTGGCCACAGTATCGAGAGACCGCTTGGTAAAGACCAGGGGAACCGTCGGGGCTCCAGCCGTGAAGTAGTCTCTGAATCCGCCCTTGCCATCGTAGAGTTTCTCGGCGCCGGCACGGCTCTCTTTGGGGAAGCTGAAATCGAACAGCCGGACGACCATCGCGAGCAGCATGCGCATCTCCATCATGGCGAGCGGACGGCCGGCACAGGAGTATCTGCCTGCCAGGAACGGGTTGAACGCGTCCTTGCGAATGATCAGCTGGGGCTTAGACGACCATCTCTCGGGGATGAAATGATTGGGCTGGACGAAATATCTGCTATCTAGATCAAGTAATTTATAATCATGTCAGCATGCCATTATTCAATCTGGATAACACACTAAGTAGTTATCTGTGGGAAAAGAGAGAGAGAAGAGAGGAAAGGGAAACGACCGAGAAAATACGAAAAGGCAAAAGATAAGTTGTTGATCGTGATCATGAAGTAAAAATAGAAAAAGAAACGAGGTGTTGGAAAGCAAAATAACAAATGTGAAATAAAAAAGGAACAAGCTAGCAGGGATACGAGATGGTGATACGTACCGCGATGGAGAGTGTATGTGGGAGTCGAGACGATCGTGTCTCCAGGAATCCATCTGTCTGCGATCATTGCTCCCTGCGGGGGTGTCAGGCGTTGCACTCCGCTGGGGACGGGAGGGTAGAGCCGTAGGCCTTCGTTGATGCACCCTTCGAGGAGGTGGCTAGATGCAAGCTTCTGGTGCGAGAAGTGGTCGAGTGTGGGTATCAGGAGGTCGACCTCGGCCTGGAGTGCCTTTTTCTGCTCTGGATGCAGTGCCAGGAGGTAGAGGACTGTCGTCAGGTTGAGAGCTGTGGTCTCACTGCCTGCCACGATGGCCAATTCAGCGTCATAAGTCAGGTCTCCATCAGATGTAGCTTCACTGAGATCATTGCCCAGGATGTATGAAAACAGATCAGGCCGTGTAGTTCCCAGCTATATCTTGATTAGCACTCTAGTTATATATATTATATGTATTGATAGACCAGGAGAAGGTTACCTTCATTCGTTCTTGGACCTGGACGCCGCACCAGGAGATCCAGTTTGAGCGTACACGGCTGATTCCGGGCAGCTTTTGGAAGAGAATGAAGAGCCAGGGGACGCCAATGAGCGTTCCCACAACAGGCTTGCTGGACTCCATCATGCCAAAGAGGAAATGAGGGTTGCCGGTGGTCAGCATGTCGAATGGCCGTCCAAAGCTGAGGTCGCCCATGACGTCAAAGCCAAAGTACTTGAACCATTTGCCGATGTCGACCGGCGTACCGGCCAGTCTGGAGAGCTGCTTGACCAGGTCCAGACAGTGCTGGTACACGCGAGGCTCATACTCGCTCAATGCTAGACGTAGAAACCAGTCAGTCGAGATGTTCTCGATTAGACAGTTGCTCAGATAGGGGGTTCAGGGGCACCTTTTGGACTGAAGCCGCGGTCCCAGGTGCGGCGTCTCCGCGAGTGGAACGCCTTGTCTCTGGTCATCTGGAGCGACCTGGACGGGTAATTGAGGTCGTAGAAGGACCCCTTGAGGCAGACGGAGCCGTAGCCATGGATATCTCGCACAGCTGCAGCGTTGTTGACTGAGATTTCGCGCGGTCCTGCAGAGACGTCAGCATCAACGACCACACAACCACACCACCATCAAAGAAATGTAATCAACAGGAGACACTGACGGATCCGGACAAAGTCGCCATGCTCAGCGTGAAGGGCCTGAACAGCTTCGTGGAACTTGAACTGTGGCAGGGCGCAGGCAACCGACCAGAAACCCGACAGTTTGGCAGCGACAGGGCCTGGGAACTGCTTGAGCGAATGGAAGCAGAGCCGGTAGATGGATATACTGGCAAACAGCGAGAGCGCGTAGACAGCCGCGAGCACTGCCAGCGCCCACAGCGAGTCGAGCAGCGGCAGACGCTGGACGAGCCAGAATGCAGCGAGCAAGCCGGCGGCCGCGAGGGAGTAGACGGCGGCCACGGCGGGCGTATGGCACTCCCACTCGCCGCGCAGGAAGAGCTGCCAGTGCGAGAGCAGGCCGGCAGCGGCAGCGAGGCCCAGCACCGTCGTCGTCGTCAGCATGGTCAGATAGCTGTCTGTCTATCCTGCTGGTTGGTTGCTGTTTGACGGTGTTGTCGTTGACAGTGAGTGCAAGCAGCAGCCAGGGCGAAGATAGATATACAACCTAACTAGTTAACCGGGGGGGATGTTTTTGCCTAGATCACTAACAAAACTACGACATACAACATAACTCACTACTTTACGGGACTATCAGCTAGTCACTTCGACTTCACACTTGACTCCGGCCGGGATTGAGAAAAGAAATAGTTACATGCAGCTAAGAGCAGGGAAGCGGCAGCAAGCAGAAGCCCGCAGGGAGACGCTGCAGCCAGACATGGCCCCCCTTAGCCACTACGACAGGACTATAGCAACAACCCCCGGAAGGCCAGATATAGCCCCCCCAGGAGGACAGGGGACACAAGCAGAAGAGTCTTCAGAGTCCTGTCAGACGCTGCTGGCCGGCTCTGGAGTCTCCTTTTCTTCGCCTGGTGATGTTGCTGCGACAAAGACGGACAGACGGACAAAGACGCTGGGACGGCGAGCGAGTGACAGACACTGATAGAGCGAGATACCGGTAGAGATACTGGCAGAGAGAGACAGAGCGAGAGAGAGAGACATCTACGGAGTTATCCAGCGGCGTCTGCGGAGAGTTCCCTGCCTGATGTCTGCTGCCGGGGCTTCTGCTGCGTGTCCTGCTGCATCCCGCGAATCCAACGGCTATACGACGGCGGCCTGGCTCAACTGCTTTTCCCTTTCATGCGCTGCGCCAACATCGAAATCGACCGCGACCTCGAATCTGCCAGCAGCAGTGCCTCCAGCAGCTTCGTCTCCGGCGCGAGCACCAGCAGAGACCCCCTCTTGTTCGTCCGATTCATCCTCGATGGCGCCCGCTACGACTGCTGACGACCACCAGCCCGGGCTCGACGGTCCGCGGCCGGCAAAGATGGTCAAGCCGTCGCCAGACGAGTGCGCTGCAGCCCTTGAGCAGCAGCAGCAGCAGCAGCGGCAGCATCAGGTCTCGTCCTCGCCTGGCTCGCCTGTCCGCCGGCCTGAGCCTGACCAGATGCCGCAGCTGGCGGTCGACGACGAGGACGAGTTCGACGACAGCGACTCGGCCGTGGGCAGCGACAGGTCAGTTCTGTCTCGTCTCTCTTCATGTTTCGTGCATCAATCGTCTTGTCTAACTAACGGCCGGCAAACAGCGATGAACACTCGCTGCAGAGCTTGACCTCCAGCATTACCAGTTATGTCTACAGGAACGGACGGCGTTATGCCTCGTTCAGAGAAGGACGATACTGTCTACCCAATGACGAAGTCAGTCTCTTCCTCTTTCTTCTCCCTCCTTTTTTTTTCACTGTTTTTAACATCCCCAGGCGGAGTCGGATCGTCATGACTTCTTGCAGCATATATACGGCATGCTCTTTGGCGGACGCCTCATCTTTGCGCCCATATCAGACCAGCCAGAGAGGATACTCGACATTGGCACCGGCACAGGTGAGCCGCCCTCTTTTCGCTCTCTCTACCCTGTACTGACCATCTATCAGGCATTTGGGCCCTGGACGTCGCAGAGTTCGTTGCTCCCTTTGCCCTCTTGACCGTTGGGGTTTTTCGTACTTACGCTGCAGTCAGTGCATATCCAGCCACACACGTTATCGGCACAGACATCTCGCCCATCCAGCCGACTTGGTCAGTTCGTTGGTTCTTTTTTCCCCCATCCTTCCGCTCGTTTTCGTCTTCGTCTTCGCTTTTCTTTCTTTTCTCGTTCGTGCGAACCCTCGTATAAAAAGTCTGTCTGACTAACGTTTCGTGCCAGGGTCTCGCCAAACATCTCCTTCGAGATCGATGACGCCGAAAGCGACTGGACATTTAGACAGCGCTTCGATCTCATCCACTTCCAGAACCTCAACGGCGCCATCCGTGACTGGCGTCGTCTGTTCTCGCAAATATACGAGTATGTCAACACTTCGAACCGTTGAACCGAGTTTAGCCCTCTGCTTGCTTTTTCTCAGTCACGACTTCTTGCCCTTTTTGTTTCTTTTTTTTTTTGGCTTCTTCGCATTTGGCTTCCCGCTCCCGTTGCCGCTCCCGCTCAAGCTACCAATCTTTTCGCTTGGTTTGAGTTTTGTTGGCTGATCATGGCTGGAAAATAGCAACTTGATGCCAGGCGGTTATGTCGAGGCCAAAGAAACTGATGTGTACGCAACTTGCGACGACAACTCCATCCCCGAAGACTGCCATCTTCGCCAGTGGGAGTCCAACTGTATCAAGGCATGCAGTCTCATCGGCCAGACCCTGACAGCGCCAGAGAACGTCAAGCAATGGATGATTGAAGCTGGCTTTGTAGATGTCAAGGAGGAACAGTTTAAATTGCCCATCAACCCCTGGCCAAAGGACCCAGAGCTTAAACTGGCCGGTCGGTACCAGCAGGTTCAGTATTCTGATGCTCTCCAGCCATATGCTCTCGGATTGCTCGTCGAGGTTCTCGGCTGGTCCAGGGAGGAGATGGAACTCTTTCTGGTCGGCCTGAGAAAGGATCTCGCCAACCGCGCACTCCACGGGTATAACATAGTGTATGTTCTAACACTCAGTTTCTCCTCCCCTTTCATACCTTGACAATCACTAACATCACAACAGCCGTGTCATCACCGGCCGAAAACCAGGAATGGGAAAGAGAAAGTTCTCAGATACAGAGTAGTCTGCTTTCTCTCGTGATCCCCTTGTTATGAATAGCATCTTTGCAGCTGTTTCTCCCTCTCTCTTCTTTCGGGGGCCATTTATATACCCTTCTGTTCCTGGATTTCTGCCTGTCTGCCACAATATTCCTCGTTTCGACCCGGGCATAGAATCATCTTATTTTTCATCTTCAAGCAAAGCACCGCTGATCCTTATTTTGGGAATATCTCTCTCGCCAACCTCCTCGTTCTTCTTTTCTTTTATTTTCCTTTCTTTAGTGTTATTTCAGCGACGGCATTGTTGGATATGGGTGTCAAAGTTATCCGCCAAAAATCTAGTCGACAATCGAGAAACGGGAGTCGCCTATCTCTTGCTGAGTGCAGAGGAACCAGCATGGAATCAACAACAGTCCATGATTATGATAGTGAAGATGGAAGATTGATGGTAATATCATGGTATTTCTCTTATTCTTTTTCACTCCTCACGCTATTCATGTATGATCAAATAGCAAGTCTTTCCTAGTCTTTTTCTCCGTAGAATGTCTCGACATATCATCTATGAGTAGAACAGACCATCAACAACAGTAAACAAGGCAGTAAAAATAACCAGAATTATCGAAAGAAAGGAAACACCCTCATTCCCTAGACTCAAGGACCGGGTGAACCTTTTTATACGCCGGTGGCGTTCACTTCTTTCTGCCCGCCCCATCTCTGCATGCACATCTGCCCTTCTCCCTCTCGCCCTGAGCCTCCATTCCTCCGCCACGGATCAGATACATCGAATCCGATTCCCTGGCAGCGGGCACCCTTCCCCATCTTGAGCATGCCAGCAGGTCTTGAGGGGCCTCAGATCTCTTCACCCTCGGCCTATCGTAGCGCTCTATCAAAGAGTATGTCTGGGATCGACTTCGTCTAAGGTTTGTACTCTGCGTGGTGGCTTCGACCTTTTTTCGTCGTTTCTTTTTCCTTATCTTCCTTTCCTCTTTGCTTATTCCTGGCCCATCAGGAGGAAAGCAACTCCATGAAGGTACGGAGTACTCCGTAGCACTGGAGGTATAGAGATTGCATCTTGAATTTTCTCCTCAGCCTGATATTTTATGTGTTGATAGACAAAGACGTATTTTGGCTGGTTTTAAATTAACTGCTTGGACAATGTTACTGCACGACTATTGGTCACATTATATCCGCATAATTCCCGATGGACCAATAAAAAGCAGGGAATATCTACCTTCACGTGATGGCGACTTCCTGCTTAGTCAGATACAATTCTCTTGAGCCCCCTTACCTTCCAGACAGCCATCGACTTCAAGCAATCATTCCCATGTAAATTATGGATGCCATAGCATCTGAATCCGAGAAATGAGCGTCCCTGCTCGTCTTTGAAGGATGTCTTGATCCATATCCTCCCCCTGTTTATGGTGACCCTGAGATTCTCGACGTTATAAGAATACTTGTAGATGCTTTAACTCAAGGAATGGCGCTTTCTCAACTTCTCTCGAGCACAAAGGAGACTCTCGATATTGTTTAAACCTGTTATGCACATGCACCTGGGCCTGAAGAAAGAAAATAGAATATTATAGTCCCCGAATACCCCTTATAAAGGTGCTCGCACAATTACAGCTGCATTCTTAGCAAACGCCTCAGTCTTCCACCACTTCGACTACTCAGGCCAGAGAACGTCCCTTCTTCAACTACAGCCCCGCCATCCACAACAACTACATTATCAGCCAACTCCATCAAATTCTTTGCGTGTGTGATTATTATCACTGTCAAACTCTTTCCAGAAGCCATCAGCCTCGCTACCGTTTGTTTTATCACAGTTGCACTCTCAACATCAAGACTAGACGTTGCTTCGTCGAGTATTAGGAGCCGTGGTCTGCGAACGAGTGCCCTGGCAATCACTATTCTCTGCGCCTGGCCGCCAGAGACACCAACTCCACCATCTCCAACAAGAGTATCGTATCCTGATGGCAAGGAGGATATGAAATCGTGGATTCCGGCTGCTGTGGCAGCAGCTTGAATATTGGCAAAGGTATTCAGTGAAGAGTGTTCAGGTAGGCCATAGACAATATTTTCTTTGATAGATGCTGGGAAGAGTGTCGGGTCCTGGGGGACGATCGATATCAACGACCGGAGAGTCGGGACATGAATATTGCGAATGTTCACACCGCCGAGTGTGATAGTACCAATGTTACCCGCCGACGGTGGAGATGGATAAAGAGCAAGTAACAAAGATGCAATGGTTGATTTCCCAGAGCCAGAAGGTCCCACAATTGCAGTACACGAGCCCTTGGGGATTTTAAGGTTGAAGTTATTAAGGACTTTCTTGCCCGGTCGGTTTGGATAACTGAAACCCACGTCTTTAAAATTAAGAGGCATTAAGTCATGGATGCGGAGATTTCCTTGACCTTCATGCGACTGGTCTTCTGGCATGTTAACTAGATGCAATACCCTGGTTGCAGAGTCTCTCGAAGAACTAATTTGGGGAACTATGCACCAATTAATAAGCGAACAGATATCACCGGGACCTACTATTGCTTACCCAGGGAGAGCACTCCTCTCACATTTGCCATGCTAAAAAGTAGCATTGAGAAGACCATCAAAACATCCTTAGCTGAATACTGAGAACTGGATACGAGGATAGCCCCATAATAAAATATAAGAGCTATACAGACAATGTCAGTACCATATCAAACACCGGAGTGGAGTGAAGCGTGGCAGATGGACTTACCATAAACGAAAAGAATTGAACACTCTGAGAATCCAAAGAGCAAACCAGAATAGCACCCCCGCTTGATACCAACTGTCAAGGCCTTCCCATTGGATTTGTTGTGTTTAGTATGGAAGTATGACTCCAATGTCAGTGATCGAACTGTGCGAATATCGAGAAACGTCTCCGTGAACACGCCTGCCATTATCTCGCTCGCTTCATTCGACTTGTTCTCCCAAAACCCGCTGATTTTTTCATATAACCTTGTCAAACCATATAAAGGGGGTGCCGTAGCAGCACCAACTAATGCCAGTTTCCAGCACACTGCCACTCCCCAGATAAATCCGATCAGTGTCATAACGGCAGCAACAAACATGAAGCAAGCAAACCGCCCGACGATGTTTCTCATTTCCTCCGGGTTCCGATCTAAGCAGTGGGTCAAGTTTGATAGGCTGTTCTCGTCCTTCTCAAACCAAGACTTGCACTGTTGTAAGATTCGGCGAATGGCTTTGTAACGGAATTGGTCGACCCAGGCCTGGCCACATCGTTCCAGAAGATAGTGCATGAAGAAGGATGCTATCCCATTAACAACAGCTACACCCAATACAGCAAGAGCCCATTGCATTGCCAGTCGAGATCTGTTTTCGACGATAAAGAAAGTGGTTAATAGCTGTGAGAATACGTAAGAAAAACATGGCGTTGCAGCTGCGTGGAAAAAGGCAGCGATAAAGCCGAGAAGTAACGACATTCGGTTTGAAGTTGATAACGATGGTATCACGGTCAAGAGAATCTGTGACATCGAGTAACTTGTTTGCAATGGCTCGTTATTTGGTTTCAAGAGCGAAGACGTTTGGTTGTCACTGGTCGCTGACGGCGGTTGTTCTAAGTCTTTTTCGACTCTTTGGTCGTCCAATGCATCTAACGGGGCCTTTCTGAACCTGGGGCTCGTGTGGTCAATGAGACGTTCAACCATACTGCTTCTCCTTGACTGACTGCTCTGCTCCGCCTCAGAAAATGTCCTCTCGAGAGAAAGGCTGTTATGAAAAAACGGAGAAATAGGAGTGGTTAATGAACGTCGTTCAGTCATTGGCCGCTCTATACTGCTGAAGCTTGATCTTCTCCTTTTTTCTGACATGGGACCTGGAGATTTCGCGCTCCAATTAGAGGTAGCTGGCGTGGTGTCTGTTGGCAGAGTCGCAAGATTATTAAGATCGAACACACCAGCTGCCTTCTTCTCAAGGATATGTCTGTATCCCTGATGGGCTATTTCTCCTTTGTCAATGACATACACAAAATCCTGAGACCGAATTTGTGAAAGGTCGTGCGTAATGATGATGGTGGTCTTTCCTTGTCGCCATGCGCGAATTGCGTTCATTAGGGAGATCCTACTTGAATAGTCTAGGGCACTGGTAGACTCATCGAGTATCAATATAGGGGTATCCCGTAACCTGGCTCTAGCTAATGCCATCCTCTGTCGCTGCCCTCCGCTCAGGGACCTACCACCCGAGCCAACAACTGTGTCGAGTCCTAATGGGAAACTAAGGATGGTATCCTGCAGACCTGCAAGTTTTGTGGCTGCAAATATATCCTGAGCAGTCGTTTCTTCAACATTGCGTGAGCCGAACGTGATATTTTTCAGCATTGTCTCATTGAAAAGAATGCTTTCCTGCTGAACAAGAGTAATGTTATTGCGAATCCAGCTGATATCTAGAGTCTGGATCAGCCTGTCATCAATATGAATTTCACCAAACGTTGGTGCATAGAATCTCATAAGCAAATTTCCGATAGTGCTCTTCCCTGAGCCACTTTTGCCAACAACGAAAGTTGTATCGCCCGCTGGGAAGAAGAAAGAGCAATTGTCTAGGACTCTTCTCCCAGGTTGAGATGGGTATGCAAATGTAACCTGAAGAACGGGACCACTGTTAGTAGCTGGATTACACAAATAACAGCACGGGATAAGACCAGATTTACCTCTGAAAATCGAATATCGCCTTCACAGAAGACAGGGGAAAGAGTGACGCCTCCAAGCTCCCGCGATGCGCATGCATGGCAAGCATCATTGAATATTTGCTTAATAGTAGCCGAGGCCGTCCGTCCCTTTTCGAGGATAATCAGTCGGGGTATAATCTCCTCTATTGATTGTGTTGCTTGTAAACAGGCCCAGAATGTTGTCAACACTTGACCAGCATTCAGACTACCCTTTGCCACAAGATAACTGCCGTACCAAAATCCCTGCACGAACATTCCAAATGTTAGGAAGGAAATTAGGCCAATCTGAGAAGCACTGTAGAGAGCCTCTTTGTAGTACCAATGAGCAGCGATGCCAATTGCAGTTTTGTACTTTTCAGCCTCTGTATCTTGACTGTTGAAGTGTTTTACCACGTCAACGGAAGAAATGGCTGTCGTTGCAATTTTCGACGCCTTAGTGAGTGCTACCTGTTGCCCTTCAATCTTTGGTTGGACCTTTGAGGAGAAGAAGGCAATGATGATGGCACAGAGCGGTACACTAGCAAGACATATAAGTGTCAGACTCCACGACATGTACAGAGCCAGGACCAGAGCGGCAATAGCAGCAGTAAGGTTGTATAGAGTGGCTCCTAGCGGCTGTGACGTGGCTAGCTGGAGATCTCGGATGTAGCTATATCAGAGGCCATTAATAGTGCTCTTCCAGAACTCCGAACGGGTTGCGGTATAAACATACGCTTGAATCCGGGGTAAAACGGCAGGGAGCCCGTCGGTGACTCCATCAAACCATCTCATCTCCTTGTGTAGTAACTCTTCAAATGCCCATCTCCTCGCATTTTTAGCCTGTAGCTCGCCAAAGATAACCCACAAGGAGAAATATGCCCAGTCCAGAAACCAGACACCAGACCCAAGGGCCAAAATATATGTACATTCGAGGGAGGTAGTCGATAGCAGCTGGCCAGCAGAGATCGAGTGAGAACCGAAACTTGAAAAGACATTAAACAGGCTGCCTAGTATCCAGGCAAGCAAAGGGACAGCAAGCCCACGGGCTATGCTAAAGGCCAGAGCAAGAGTCAAAGGAGCAATATGCCTCTTAGACGTGAAGCGGAAGAGAGATGCCCATCCTGCCCGCAGCCGCTGCCCCTCGACAGGCCCCGAAACCGCCGGTGGCTGCTCGCCTGGACGCGAGGTCTGAGGCATCGAGATGTCAACTTGCTACGACAGCAATGGTGGTTTTATATTCGAGCTGTAGCCCGCCGTCTCCCATCTGTATATCCTGTCTTAGCCAGCAATGTCCAGGAGCAAGAGCAAGTCAGTCCATCGTCCTGGGAGGAGGCCATGAACGAGCAGCCGTGGCAAGGCAGGCCACCACCTCGTAAATGAACAGCAGCCATGGCCTCGATATGGATCTAGACACTGGTTCTTTTGTGGTATCATGTCCAGTACAGAGTACTTCGTGACTTTTTCTGGTTCCCTGAGATGCTTTGAATGCGCGCTTCTTTGTTGTCCCTTGCTAGTCGGATCTTGCTTGCTATTGTTCCTGTGGAGATGCTAGCGCTATTTATGAGAGATGAATAGAGACGAGGCTGTGTTTCTTCATAAAGGCAGAGGAGGACGGAGGTGCGGATAACAACCGCCGTCTGGTCGAGGCCGGGACGGCGTTGTTGGTTGATTGACGTTGTTGGCGATGGCTTGACGTTGGTGTTTTTCCTTCGTCGAGACAATTCTCACAACACGACAGCAACAACAACATCAACAGAACCACCGGCACTCGCAGTAGTTACAACACCGAAAAACCAACAATGAGCGATATATATCTGATTTAGGCTGACATGGGTGGGCTATCCTTGCGCTGTCTCGTCTCCCTGCCTTTCGTCTATAGGATCGTTAACCTACAGGTGAGCCTTCCAACCGACGAAGATAACTAAAGGCTTATGGTGGCTTCTACGGCGGAGTGTGAGAGGGTGAGGGTGAAGGAGATCGGCCGTGAAGATACAGCAATCACACCTCGAAGCATATAAGCCAGCGATGTTCACGTCTCCCATATCTTATAATCAAACCGCGAACAAGTCTCTCGATGGACGCTCACGCTGTATACCTCGCAATCACCATCGAAATATCTGAACAACAGAGAGGAATGAAAGCTATAAGAGGCTAGTTGACGTCGTGTACGAGACCTACACTGATGGCTGACCTATCTATGTCGTGGAGTTGAATGGCGGACAACATGATAACGACCACATCAAGAGTTCAGAATCGTTCGTTGAATTAAACTGCTCTGCAATGTCACGACAACTCATCCTGCATCCAGAGAACTAGCTGTTTGGTCTTACTCACTGGCTCCATCTTGATCAAAGCAAGATGCAGGTATTCCTAGAGCGTATCTAGCCACCGTCCTACCATCAGATGAACCATGGCAACAACCCAGTGCTGCTATCCATACTAGGCTCTCTGCATCTAGTAGTTGAATGCTGTGCTTCAAGCCAATTATACCCTTTTCAACCATTACCGGTTGTCTGACTACCATTTGCGGGAGATGATCACACCCTGCAGCGGCAGAGCGCCTCAGGCTCATCACCCAGAAAACAGGAACACAACCTATCCTCAGGCACGCTCCATTGACCAAACAGGTTGAACAGCGCATTAAATAATGATTTCGATCTTCAGTACATATATATATGCAAGTGTTATTGGACGAAATGTCGGGGATCGGCTGTTTCTTTGCTAGCGGCGCTTCAAGGATCCTTTGTCTTATTTCATCTTGTGCACGTAGATCTAACGCCCTCAACAGTTGATAAATGCCAGCTTTGTCTGACCTTATCACACCTACTAATAATATTTTTTTTTTTTTTGCCAGATGTCTCTCCTTTATTTTTTAAGTTGCAATTCATCTCTTATTCTCTTCCTTGGAGTTGTCCATCGGTTATAATTCTCACCGAACCGGTGCCAGCCTTTACCAAAATATCATGTGGGAGCCCGAAAAGAAGTCTCCGAAAAGGCCAGTAGAGCTGGCAGATACCAGTATCGCCATGAAGCCATCAACAATAGGCGACAGAGTGAGGTTCTTCGGGCTTGTTGCTGTTCTATTTTTCTCTATTTTCTTGACATTTCTCGAACCTGCTATTCTTGCAACACTTGTTCCTCAGATTTCAAGCGACTTCAACGATACCGAACATGGCGGATGGTATAACTACGCCTACATTTTGACATTTGCCAGCCTTCAGCCCAGTTGGGGTAAAATCTACCGCTGCTTTTCTCTAAAACCTGCATTCCTGATCTCCCTTCTTATTCTCGGACTGGGTTCGATTATCTGCGGCGCTGCGGCTAAATCAAAGACATTCATTGCTGGCTGCGCAATTTCCGGAGTAGCTGGAGGAGGACTCATAACTGGTGCTTATACCATTGTTGGACACACTATAAAAAATGAACGCTGGCGTCCGCAATATATCGGTATCCTTGGTGCAGCATATGGTACATCTAATATTGCTGGTGCATATATTGGGACGCTCTTCCTTGGCTCTGTGACTTATAGATGGATGTTTTATACCAACGCCGCTATCGGAAGCCTATGTTTCATTGCTTTATTATTTTGTTTCGCCATCGTGCCAACAGTTGTCCCACCGCCAACATCACGGAAGGAAAAGTTTCTCCTACTTGACCTTCCGGGGCTTGTGATTATATGGCTTGCGATGGTCTGCTATGTCATTTCGATGCAATCAAGGAAAACCACAGATTCGTGGAGCGACACAATAACTAACGTCACCCGTTTCGCATTCGGAGTCCTCTTGGTCATTTTTTTCCTTTCCCAGTGGTGGAGTGGGAAGTATGCGAACATCAAGCTTCGCCTTTTTACTATTCGGGATACAGCTGCATGTACTGCCTTTACATTCTTTCTCGCAGGGGCTTTGGCAGCTCATCTATATATCTTGCCGACATACGCACAGGTCCTTGATGGAGCGTCGGTATCTGAGTCGCGGGTCCGTATGATGCCGTTAATGATTGCCATGTCATCTTCTTCAATACTTTCTGGCTACTTGATTGGACAATTTGGATACTATACCCCAATGCTGGTCATCGGGGGAATTTTCACAATCATAGGTACCGGTCTCCTTTACACTCTAGACGCAGCAACAACACCGTTCAAATGCGCAGCATTTCAAGTTATCACCGGAATCGGAATTGGTACCGCCTACCTGGTACCTATCATCGTGAACATGAGTTTGGTTGAGATTGAAGATCTTCCAACTATTATCGCCGCAACATTCTTTCTACAGTCTCTTGGAGGTTTCTTTCTCAACCAGGCTTCCCAGGCTGCATTCATTGGTATATTACGGAAACTCTCAGCTACGAGCACTGATCCCAAGGTAGTGAAAGTCATTCAGTTTTCTACCACTTCTTTACGTGATGAATTTACAGGTGAAAGTTTGAAACTGGTCCTGAACGCATACCATGGTGGAATCGAGATAGTTTCTATAATCGGGATAGTTGCTGCTGGCATGTCCCTGATCCTTTCAATTTCTCCCCAGTGGAAAAAGCTGAGTGAATCCAACTGAACGTGCCTTTTTCATATGTTCAAAATTAGTCACGACCTCACTACGTTTTATGAAATGGACTTACGAACTATTCAGTAATATGTTAATCAATTTCTCAAAGTATCTAACCTCAACATTATTGTTCATTACAAAACAGATAATATTCATTCCCATTTTATGTTTCCCAAAGTAGGTCTTCCCGGGCCCGCGTCTGATTGAATTTACTGTCTTCGCCTGCATAATACTTCAGACTCTGGGTTGATAATAAGAGCAGAAATAAGAGTAAAGTTTTTCGGTCGTCCTTGTCCGTCTGGGAAAGCCCAGTCGTAATTCATTATCAAATGAGCAAGGAGAATTTTGGTTTCGTTGATAGCAAAGAATCTACCAGGACAAGCATGTGTTCCCAGGCCGAATGATAGACTCTCAAGTCCAATGGAAGTGGCCTAGAATGTGTTAGTAATTTTCTTATTATGAGGCACCAAAATTGTCTATACGTACTTGGTACTTGTGGTCATTTCCTTCAACAGCCCGTAGCCTTTCAAATCTGCAGGGTTGAAATCGTAAGCATTGATCTGGGGGTGATTGAAAGCTTGTCACGTACCTGAACCCATCAAATTTCTCAGGGTTCTCCCACAGTTGAGTATCATAATTTATCTGGAAAGAATTGAACCCAAATATAGATCCTGCTGGTAGAACCGTGCCATCAGATAGCTTTGTAGTAACTAACACTTTTCGTTCCATGCCAACTAAATGGGTGAATAGCTGTTAACTTCCACTTTCTGTAGATTAAGAGGGCCAGAAGGGGTATTACCGAATGACGATGGGTTTAATCGTTGAGACTCTCTAAGGAACGAGTCCAACTTGCGGAGTTTCAGCATGGCAGCCTTCGAAGTGATACTTCCTTCTTCTGCTAAAACCATCTCAATCTCTTCCCTCAAAGGAGCCACGTGTTCTGGTGCTGCAGCTAGCTGGAACAATGCATGACAGGCATTCATGGAGGTTGTATGCATGGATGTAAATGCGGCCATGAGTTGATTTGTGGCCTGAAAATCTAAGGACATCCCTTTTTGCGGGTTTATATCAATGAAGGATTGGATAATATCCCTTGGAGGCTTATATGCAGGATCCTTGAGCTTTTCTATTCGTTCTTCAAGAATCGGTTTGAGCAACCTGATTCGTTATATACGCCGTTAGTTATCGTACCGTACAAGTAGATAGGCCGTCACCAACCTTTTAACAGTGGCGTAGTGCCGCCGTACAGCCCATAGCTGCGGAAGCAGGGAATTCAAAAGCGGATGAATTATGCTTGGGGTCATATGCAGAATCATACCAGCTTTGAATGCATCTTCAGTGTATTTCAACAGACATCCCAGCTAGATACTTATTGTCAGCAGCTTCCAAAGCATGAATACAAGGGAGCCTTACCCATTCTTTGTTATGACAAAGTGGCGGACCAACCAACACACGGCTCGTCATAGAAGACACCATGTCAAGCAGCGTAGGCAACAGTTTCACCGGTGCATAGTCTGGGTTCTCAGTGTTATAAAAGCCTTCCTCAAGAGTACAGTAAAGGTACCTAACTTACCATTCCCACAAAAGCCAAGCTTATGTTTAACGACCGAGGTAGCTTCTTCCTGGAGCAGCTCATGGGCATGAACTATGTTCTGAGTCAGGTCACGCCGCAGAGCAGTCACCAAGCTATGATCGTGAGTTGCGATGAAAGTATATTCCCCAGCCATTGCGTCTTTAACGAGAGCCTTGAAGCTCATCTGGCTCTCAGGAAACCGCTTAATCTCATCCAAGTATTTGCGAGGCAGAATTATCATCTGCTTTGCCGGGACCTGAATTTCATAAGGCTGGTCTGGATACTGTGAGGCTTCATGTCAGAACTATCCGCTTTTTCCCTTGGAATAGTATTTGTTTCAAAGGTCATGATGTGGTCAATACCAGTTTGGATCCTTCGATAAGGCCTGGCTCCATGTCATTTGATTTTAGCTTGATAACTGGGAAGCCAGTAGCTGGCACCTTTCGAGTAGTTGGGGCAACTTTCAAACATATCCAAAAGACCCCGGCGAGAAGTAGAACAACCAACCCGAGATGGGCGGCTGGATATCCTTCTAACAGCCCGGTCATGGCTATTAATTCGAGGTTATTCGACTGATTCTCTTAGCTGTATATTGGTGCTGTGTCTTGTCCGGCAGGCTTGGAGCCTTATATAGCAAACTGCTAAGGTCCAGTTCTGTGGGTACATCATCGGCTGTGGAAGGCCAGTCCTAATAGCACAGTTCTAACTGGTCGGCTGCTAGGATTCCTTGCATTTTGTCCCCTTTCTCCATATTATTATAGAATCGACATACACTGTTCCTCGCGCACAAAATCCGTCCCTGCATTCGTTGGCGCCTCCCTTGCCATGCAAAACAGGTATAACAACCCGCCCAGCGGCCTTTGCAGCAGTTCAACCGGCAACATCTTCCGCCCATGTATCACCACAGCCCCCTCCTCTCAGCCAGAGCGGCTGGGTTTCAGCCTTGCATCTCGCTCTCCATCATCCCAGTCGAGCAGCAAAGACATGGACTTTCGGCTGCAAATCAACGTCCGACATCAAGAACTTTGTTTTCTCCACACTCAAAATCCTTCAAATAAACTTTCCGCAAACCTTAAAACTTTATATTACATAAACACTATCACATGATTAACATATTTGTCACCTGATTATATATCCGTAAGAGGAAAGAGCGAAAAAACAACCGCGGCTTCTTCGATCTGTCAAATATCAACCTATATTCAAAAATGGACGCTGTCAACTTCTTCTCGTCTACCGTCTTTGCTTCCATGACAGCCGTACAGTCCTCCGGCAATTGAGACTATAGGGTGCACGGTACAGCAGCCATATGTACCACGGATGAGATGCAAATCCATCCTAGTACGTTTTCTGCTATCCTGACAGCATCAATCTGATGTATCGTTGGTGGACAGATTGATCTCTCATCGGCTTCCAGGCCTATCACGTCTTCTTGACTGAAGATGGACATTAAAGGTATGGTTTGGTGTTGTCTATCGAATTCAATGTCAAACTCGATCCTGAACATCATCTATTTGATGTATTGACCCGGATACCTGCCACTGAGCCGACATCTTCGTCAGGTAATGAACGCCATTATTCTGATGCCAAATCTCCTAACAAGAAATTTAAATACCCCAATCTAATTTTTGATAAATTAATTCCTTGATTCTCCGAGGGTAATTTTCCAAGAGGAATATTGAAAGTTCTATCATTTTACTCTATGAGTAGTGCTGCTTTACGGAGCATTGATATCTCCTAGCCTAGTACAATTCACCAAATTGAATATTGTGAACATTAAGGTTCATATATTTATGTGGGTGGTAGAAATATATTCACTACCCCATCACAATATTTGAAACACACACAGCCATTTCTACCGCAACCTTTTCTTCCCAACCCTCCATTGCTGCCATAATCAGGACATCTGTCACACAGTAACTATTTGCTTCGTCCAAACTTTTGCACAACCCTCCCAGAGCTACACGAGATGCCCGTTGTCAAGGTTATTAGGTCTAGGAGGAAGAGGAAATATTGGGCCTCGCTGGACTGCTTCAACAAACGGACTACGCTGAGAACGGTCATGCGTGAGGTATCGTGAAAATAATCGGGTTTACTGAAAATACACTGACGTTCTAACCCATCCTTGTGATTACTAGTACCGTATGTACAACAAGAGAGCATTTCACTACTACAATTGCAATACCGAGGATGATAACCCTTCGGCTGTCGTCTGGATTGTCAGGCCGTATTTTCAGAACTGCAAGGTCTTCCTGCTCAGAGGGTCTTTCCGTCTTCCCAACTACGAGTGGTTGATATCAAACCCCGGTCGCGAATACCGTGTGAAAGGCGAGGACCGCATCGCCCTCTGTGGAAGCAAGACTGCGGTGGTCGTCATAGAAGAAGATTGACCAGCAAGAACACGTCTTACTCCCAACATGCCGAGAGGTCAAGACCAGGGCCTCGTTTCATAGCCGAAATCTCTGCACTGGGCCAGCCAGCCATTTATAGCTGGATGCCTCTTGGCTAATTTTTCCATGTACGAACAAAGAACAAAGTATAAGTTATGCTGTGGGGGTAGCTAACTAGAACATAGCGATGAAGAAAGAAAGGGGCCCGCTGTGCCGTGCTAGCGACTGTGACTATGGCATTAGACCGGCCGAACACAATGAATGAAAGTTGGTAGAAGACTCTTCTTGGATGTTCTTTAGCGACCTTGGAGGACTCTTTGCTGTATCTGCTCTCGATGGGCCGAAACATGCTGCATGCACGATGATGCAACATTATTTTCCAGCCTCCAACAGCCGTTTTAGTTTATTCTCACCCCCCTAGAATATCACTATTTGTTCGTCTGTAATCGCCATATCGGCCTCTACGCTGCGGTACGTAACTAAAGGGGAGGGAGGGTATATATGGCCCAGGCCTGCCTTAACAGCTAAAGTAAAGCTTTTTTAACTAAGCGTTATGGCCCACTGCAACTAGTTAGTTATAAGCCTCTTTATTCCCCATATTAACCAGATAATTACTGATAAATTAATATTGATTGCTTTCCCTAGAAAAGGCTCCGGTTTCTCGAGGCGTAGCGAGGAAGAAGAGAGACCCAAGAAGTGCGCCAACCGCCCCGCCGCCGCCGCCGCCGCCCTTTGTACCCGTCCTGCACTAGCTGGTTAGAACAACGAACTAGCTAGCCAGCAACCAGCGACCCGAACCAAGTATTTCAACTATTTAAGAACCATCCAGGGGCGCCCGTCCGACACGTATATCGAAATACTTTAAGACCTAGAGACGAGAAGGGGACCGAAACGACGCTCCGTTGTTTGTCGGACTCCTCCGTTTGCGTCTGTCTCGATCACAACATCATGGACACTCTAGAGCTTCAAGGCGAAGGTATGGCTGCAGCCCCTAACTATCTCCCGCGCATTCGCTAATCGATATCGCAAATATCAGAGAAGTTAATCGAAGTCAGCCACCTGCTCAAGACCTTACGGTCAGACTTGGATCAGAAGGCCCTTCAGACGTCCCGTATGCGCCGCCACAAAACGCCCTCTTCATGCACTGACCGTCATAATAACGTACCGTTTCAAATAGAGCTGATCGAGACCCTACAAAAACTTCGAGTCCACGGTCGAAAGCCGGAGAATGCAGACCCCATATATGAAAAGGAGGTACGGAAGCAGATGGTTTTGGGTGCGCATGTCACGGCTCTAACGGACTACTTGTAGGGTATAGCGACTCTGTCTACGTACGGGTTCGACGAACCAGATGCGATCATATGCCGAGAAGCCTTACGATGTCTGGCGAATGCGCTGTTGCTCGAGAAGGCCACACGCCAGCGGTTTGTCGACCTAGGAAATGGAAGAAAAGCGGCAGAGAAGTTGAAGGTACGTGCTTTGGTTTCCGACACAAGCGGTATTACGTCGTTTAACTGGGAGGGGACAAACAGGAAGAGAACTCGGACGATGAATTTTTATGCTCACGACTTCTATTCCTCACGACTTACGATTCAGATCTGGATTTTGATAAGTTGTTTAGCGAGTGTTCTCTAGGAGAGAGTATCAATAACGTATGACACCGATACTGATCTGTTACTTCTCTGAAAGACTAACACCAGTACAGCACATATATCGACATTCCAAGCAGTTCTCCAAGGGGAAAAAGAAGAAGCTTACTCCCATCGACGAACTCGCTCTCTCAGAGACCCTCAAGCTGATGTTTAATATTACAAACTACTACCCTCATCAAGTTGCAGCATTCTCGCCGTCAATACCCCACATACTCAAAATTTTAAGTCGCATTGAGATACCAACTCCACCGCTGCAGGCTCCAGTCAACTATCTGGTCAACTCATTGCTTAACTTAGATCTCGCGGCGGAGAAAAGCAAGCCATTCAGCACTAATCCACTCTTCCCAAAATTTGACCAGAACTGCAATGTGGATAAACTGATTAATATCCTTGACCAGGCGGTAGCCATGCATAAGCCATCTGATCTAGAGACTCTCGCAGTTCCACTACTCACTCTCCTGAGGAAGATATACTCGTTTGCCCCGGAAGGCCCGAGAAAATACATGGAATGGCTTCTACTTCCTGAAGATAACGATCGTGATCTACCTATAGGGCAATCCAATACACTCTCATCCCGCTTACTACGGTTATCAACATCTCCCGTAGCGCCTAGCCTGCGAGACGGCATTTCTGCACTCATGTTCGAGTTATCCGGAAGCAATGCCAGTGAATTTGTGAGGAATGTAGGGTACGGTTTTGCTGCCGGCTTCCTCATGTCTCATGATATGGCTATCCCTGAAAGTGCAAAGGAAGCCTACAGCTCCAAAGGTAACAAGGAACTTAATTCGGCCATCAATCCGATTACTGGTCAACGTTTCGATGCTGAGCCTGTGGACAATGGGCCTGAGATGACTGAGGAAGAGAAGGAGCGAGAAGCTGAGAGACTCTTTGTGCTTTTTGAGAGGTACTGTCTCCTAGATTCCAAAACTCTTTTGACTATAACACCGTTTGATTATGGAACTGATGGGATTGCCGTTGCTGACTATCCTACCTTCTTACAGGCTACGTGCTACAGGAGTTGTTAATGTTGAAAATCCCGTTCGAACGGCCGTAGAGCAAGGTCGAATCGAAGAACTCGATTAGTTCTTTTTGCATAAATGTACTGTTTTATATACCTCCAATCTATCTCGGTGGTTTAGCATAAGTTGTCTGTTTACAACATCTAATATGGATACGAAGTATCAATACAACAAAGAAATGCCAGCGAAACTAAAATAAAATGACGTAATCCTCTATCGCGCTAATGAGGCCTGGCAAATATTACATAATAATCTTATCGGGACGTCGGTGTTATAATAATCCGATAATCGATTAATTTTGGCGGGTGAGTCGTAGTGGTTAGAACAAGTTGATACACATTCAAGATCCAAACCTCACAGACGTATTACGAGGCTAAGGCTTATACGACCGTCATATCCAAGCCATTCTGCTTCATCTGTATACCTATCTTCCTTATCCTTCGCAGCCTGAGCGTTATCTTAGTCGTGTAGCTCAACTTTCACCCCTCCCTCACCCCGCCTCTCTTCGTACAAATTTGATAAAGGCGCATCTATTTCAAAATGGCTTCAGGCTTGGGTTCGTTCGACCCGGAGACGGCTCAGAATTTGGAAGATGTAAGCATTTTTACTTCGGCTTCTAGTATTGCAGCGCAAGCAAATTAACAAAAACTCTCCAGATGGAAAAGCAATTTGCGGTTAAAGGTTTGGCTTCCATGCTTCTCGCACCCTGCGAGGTAAACACTTTACTTACCTCCTATATTGCCTACAGCCGTGCAGCAAATGTCAACATACTGGGCCATTCTCGAGCGAGCACCCGGATCAAAACTTCGACTCACAAAGTTGGATGATGAGATATATGAGAGCTTCAAGACCGAGTTTCCTGACTTCGACCCTGCCGCGACAATTGACGAGGATGAAATGAAGAGCAAGGCTGGCAAGGAAAAATGGCGAAACTGGATGAAGCAATATGAAGAGAAAGTTGCTGATTACAACTTTGGTACTCTCTTGAGAGCAAACCCGAAATTTGAGTACGGAGAAAAAGAGACTATTTTCGGTAAGCAATGCAAAACCCTGACGCGTTGTATGGTATGGGGGAAAATTATACAGGGATAATGCAAGAAATGTTTAAGGCTGACATGCGGTTGTGCATATAGTTGTCCGTATGCAGTTTTATGCCATTGAAATCGCAAGGTTTGTCATTTCCCCAAGAACATGATGTGATGGCAGAAACCAACTTAATTTGGGAAAAATAGAAACCGCGCTGGTCTAAACGACTGGGTATATGAACAGGCACAGAAAGAGAAGTCCCGTTCATAAAGTGTTTCTCTAGGCTCATCACACCGTTTTCCCAGTTCATAGAAAAAAACACCCCTGGCCGCTGCCACTGGGATTTTACGATAGTTGGCCTCCACCAATGGGGTTAAAACCCAGCCGCCATGCCCTTTCACCCGCTTCAAGGCTATAAGACGTCTCCACTGACATGGAGGCTCAAGTTACAATGCAAAGGGAACCGAGGTATGCTCTCCAGTATGTAGAGAGTATTCGGTTATTTGGACTGCATTACTGCATAAAGTTTTGTGCAACTTGGAGGCAGGGTTGCGATTTTGTATGAAATAAAAGCTTATGAAAAGATGAATAAATTGACGATATGACAGTCAAGAAAAATTCTGACTTTAGGCCCATGGGAATAAACTGTATATATACAACCAAGAAGCGAAACCAGACGCTATACACAAAATCCAGCAGTTCGGTATAATGTGATTTAACTTGCTATGGGTAAAACAGGATTTGGAGAATTCAACGACATGATATCATTCAACGAGGGAGTTGGCTCATAAGGGGCTTATGTAGCAAGCTCTGCAGGTTGGTCCTGAGAAGCGGTAGCAAGCTCTACAGGTTGACCCTGTGAGGCGGGAGCAGATGTTCCATTTCCTCCATTGGAATCTCCATTCTTCTGGAAAGAAGGAGGAATAACGTATTTAGAGCTCTTCCAGGGTTTGACATGCAAATGGTACATTAAATCAATTTCCTCGAGAGTTCGTCCTGCACCTTCAATGACACCAAAGTAGACGAGAGCGGCAGCAATTATCAGGCAGCCAGCGAACACAAAGCCGTACAAGAAATCGATGTCACCAACAATAAAGGGCGTGAAGAAAGCCAAAAGGAAGTTCCACAGCCAGTTCGATGCTGTTGCCATTGCCATTGCGGTAGCACGGTATCGAGACGGGTATAATTCGGCGATGATAGCCCATACCATTGGTCCCCATGTGCATGCGAATCCAACAATGAATAGACATGAGAAAGCAACCATCACTTTGCCAGCTCCAGGGGTTAATGCCGGCTCATCGTGATTGAGTACGAAGTGGCCGACAGAAGCATATATGACGAAGCAGACGAACATCCAGAGAGCTCCACCAATGAGAGACTTGCGTCTTCCGAAATGCTCAATGTTGTATAATCCGATAAAGGTAGCGATGAAGTTTACAGCTCCTAGAATCATCTGGGTGACGTAGCTGTTGCTCAGGCCAGCACCTCTGAAGACAAAAGTTCCATAGTAGAAGAAGTAGTTTGCACCCGTCAACTGCTGGAAAGCTTGCAGTGTTATTCCGAGAAGCAATCTGGAGCGCATAGTGGGCGCAAAAAATATCTGATACCACGGTTGGTCCTTGGTAAGTTGGTCTTCTTCGTGCTGACGTTTGATTTCGTTGAACTCTTCATGCAGCTTTTCGTGGTTCTCTGGAACTCCGTTGAGCTTCATCATTGTTCGCTTGGCCTTTTCGACTCGGTTGTGTCGATAGTCATATCGGGGTGTGTCGGGGAAGAAGACTATGCCGAATCCTAAGATAGCTGCCCAGATGAAAGTGACTCCCATCGGAATTCGCCAAGAGCTAGAGTCCGGACGAGCTTCTGTTCCGTAGTTGATGCAATTGGCAATGAAAATGCTGAGTGTGATGAAGAGTTGGTAGGTACTAGTAGTTAATGGACAAGTTAGCTCGTAATAATTTGTAGAGACATATAGGGAAACAGCATACCTGACTAGAGCACCGCGAATATGCCTAGGAGCACTCTCTCCTTGATATAAGGGGACAAGTAGAGAGAGAGACCCGACTCCTAGACCAGTAACCCACCGTCCAATAGCTACCTGGTACCATTTTGGTTCTTGCGAAGTTATTTGGACAATGATACCAGCCGAAAGGACTCCGCACCAGAAAGATATTGACCACTTCCGTCCAACCCTGTCGGCCAACGGACCGGCTATCAGGGCACCTATCAACGTTCCAACCGAGAGCTGTCATCATGAAACTGAGGGTTAGCCTCCGAAAGAACGAGAAGCAAGGGAGATCAATCCTTGCTCCGATGGATGCATCCATGAGAATGGGGGTATTCTTACCAGCGCCACAATCAATCCTGCACGAACATTCGAGAACATGTAGTCCTTGCGACCAGGTTCGCCAAATCGTCTCTTGAAATCTTCCATCTCCAGAATACCTGAGATCTGTCCAGTGTCATAGCCGAAGAGAAACCCTCCCATTGACACAAAAACCCCCATCACCGCGGATCGCCATGTTAATCGAGGAATCGGCGTAGTCACCATACCAGCAGGGTAGCTCGCCCTCTCTACCTCAGTTGCAGAAGCAGCAGGAGGAGCACCTGCAGCCTCCTTTGACGGAGGAGCCTTGCTCTTGAACATCTTGCCCATATTTTTTGGTCCTCTCAAAAGCACCAGCGAGCAATGGAGAAAGAAGAGTGAAAATTCCCGATCTTGTGTGAAAAAAAAAACCGGACGTAAAACAGGTTATAAACTTCAGGCAATGGAATTATTTTGGAGCCCAAGCCCCCATATAATAATTAAAAAGACAACATGGAACCATGGTTGGCCAGAGAGACGTCAGGGCGGGAACCCAATGGCGCAGCAGGGGAAGATTCCACAGCCCTCCGCTCCATGCTGGGCAGGCAGGAAGGATTGAATGGCGGCCGAGTGCTAATCATTGACCTTTTTCATCCGAGTTGCTGGGATGATCGGTTCAGCCCAAAGATCCATAAGCTATCGATTCACATGAGCATGATCGTAGGCTGTTTGTCCCCGTCTCGTCCGGGGGCTTCGATGACAGGTAACAGCAGGCAACTGGTGGCGTGCACTGTGCTAAAGAGCAGTGACATGAACTCAATCTTGTAAGTACTCCGCACGTAAGTCTCAGCATTAGACATGATTTGACAGGCTTCCACATTTCCTGGGGACAAGTGTTTCGCCTCTGCCGGATGTTTCGAGCGAACCAGAGAAGCGCAAGCTGTGACGTCATAAGTAGCGCTGTTTATATATCACAACTAAGAAAGGGGCAGACCCGGGAGGGACGGTGCCGTCATAGTTCATAATGATAGTGGCAGAGAGATGGGGATATGTGTGATTGTGTCATCAAGTATTGAGTAGCCGTGCTGTTGTAACGCTGCTGGACCGGCTGGATTCTCGTAGTGACAGTGACGACGTTGGTGTCTTTCTGATCTCACCAAGATGGTTAGCTAACCCTTGGATCAATTAACTAGTTGTTGCCGGAAGATAATGAGTAACATACCTCTTGTCTGTCAACGGCTATATCAGTCAATTGCTGTGCTCGCAGCTGTGACATATACCACCAGAGGTATCGTATTACCAAGGACTGAAAAGACACTGGACAACCAGCCACGGACATCTGGTTAGCGAGCTCGACAACACTCAAAATCGCGAGGACACTGTGGGCTGACGAATATACCCTCCCTTATAAATATCACAGTTATCATACCAGTGTACCGCGGGCATCTCGCCTTTATCTGTGGCAGGCTCTCAGAGATCACACACTTGGACGTAGAAATCTTCGTCTCTTCAGGGCCGGCGGGCCTTCAGGACTCCGAGTCGAGGCATGCCTTGACCTTCTCATATTATTGCTGATCTTCCGTGAGAGGACACAAATCATTGCAGAAGAGAAAAAGCGGGTGGTTGAGTCCACTAGTTAGCTATTTCGCTGTCTAGCTTCG